ACCCCCCCCCCCCCCCCCCGTACAACAAACCCATTCCCTCACCCTTCCTTACAACTAACCCCTTCCCTCACCCTTACTACTAACCCATTTCCCACCCTTACAACTAACCCATTCCCCCATCCTTACAACTAACCCATTTCCCACCCTTACAACTAACCCATTCCCCCATCCTTACAACTAACCCATTTCCCACCCTTACAACTAACCCATTCCCCCATCCTTACAACTAACCCATTCCCTCACCCTTACAACTAACCCATTCCCCCATCCTTACAACTAACCCATTTCCCACCCTTACAACTAACCCATTCCCCCATCCTTACAACTAACCCATTCCCTCACCCTTACAACTAACCCATTCCCCCACCCTTACAACTAACCCATTCCCTCATCCTTACAACTAACCCCTTCCCTCACCCTTACAACCCTTGACAAATCTGACAGCTGCATCCTCTGCCTCTAGTCCTGATCCCAGATTGATGAACTTCCAAATATGAGCAGGTCACTCAGTTATCAAGGTCAATTCTGAACACGCAAAACCTCCAAAAACAATTACGGTTTCATACCAAGGCAACTTCACCTAAATATTGCAATTGTGTTGTTTTGCATCATCAGTCACTTTTTCAGGAAAAGAGTGGTTCAAGGTCAGCCTCATGTATCACACCCTCCTAATGTTTCAAGATTGCTATAGAAAGAATATAACTCAATGGCATGAGTCTAAATCCAGATAATGACATCTCAAAACAATAATTAAGATCTGAATTTTGACCTCTAATTGAAAATGTCCTTCACAATTTCCCGCCAAATTTAACAGACGCGGATGACATAACAGTGTCAATTAATTAAATATCAGCTTACCCTGAGAGGTCCTCTTGAGAGCTTCCACAATATTTCTAGATTTGAGAACAGAGCTGACATTATGAACGTTAGCCATGTTTGAAGTATTCTGGGTGACAGGTCTTGTGTGGTGATATTTATACTCAGTTACTGCGATAACAAAGAAATGGGTCGATGAAAACAAACGACTGAAACTGGTTCTCGCAGGATTCGTCTGCTCGATATGTTCAAAACTGAGTCAAGGACAGACTTCTAAATACATGTAGGGCCAATCATGATAGAGGTTCAAGGAAATAAGCAACTGCGAAGTATTTTGGGTTTTAAATCGGTTAATATTAAAATATCTATTAGGTCTATTTGCCATGATACTTAGTATTTAGTATTAATTTATCGACCGAGGGAGTTTGTTAGTCCGACAATCATTCCACTTCAGAGGTCTTATAAAATTAACTTTAAATCTAACCTTCAACGTATATATAGTATGTAATTGTATAGGCCCTATGTATAACTGATATGTTTGTATATCAGTGTAATGTGCGCAACCTATTTGGCAATAAATTCTTTCTAAATGATGCTTACTTAAGTATATGCATTAGTTCTATGCCATTCATAGGTTACTTGCAAAGTTGCAATACCACTTGCATCTATAGACCAGGGAAACAATCTTCAAACAGCTTTCGAAATATTTCAGACAAAACATCGGTATTTTTGTTACCAAAAAGAAGATGAGATTTTCCTGGCAGTTTAAATGCAAAAACATTCAATAGTAAATGAAATCTTGAGTTGTATGCATTTGGCCCTATGTGTTATATTTCCATTCCCATGCTATATGGCATAGGCTCCTTATTAAAACTGAGCAAGATGTATTAAAGTTAATCTATAATGTCTGAACAGAAGCTAGAATGTGGAAGATGTATGCGGCCTGTATGCTGAAGGAATGTATGCATGACAGTAGCTTACGTTCGACCGAATTTTTTTGTCGTGTCACTACCAAGGTCACTCGAACTATATCTGAAATTCAAGTGATATAATATTTTATATAATATGATATCGGACCATTGGATCAAAACATTAAAATATGCCATAACACATATAAATATTTGTGTAAACGAGTAACCGAGGAGGATTTAACTCCCTCTCCCCTCTAATGTCACCCTGTGCAATGATGTAAAGAATTCGAACTGTTGTCTTTCTTACACTGTCAAACGATAGTTTTGCACAAATAGCCATCATAGGCATGGATTTGCAAAAAATACATAAAAGCCGTCAGAGGCTATATAATAATAAAAAGACCATTTCTTTGGTTGGGCTATCAAAATAGCTAATCATGACTGGCCTATTCTAAAATTAGTCATGGTATAAAAAGTTTAATGTTGCCAGAGATAGCTATCAAGTCTGTATATATATATTTATATTTAATATCTTTCAAAGGCTCAATAACATCTGTCAAGATGTCGAATCATAGATATTACGTGAGAATCGGCAATTTGTCAAAGTAGCGATTGGTTGGTAGAACAATTGAATAAGTTAACGCCCGCTTCCACTGTCAAAATAGCAACCAATGAACCAATGATGGCTTGAATATCTACAGTAAAAAAAAACTCTAAGAAGCAATCGGTTAATGTACATGTCAAAATAGCTGTCACCTTGGCTGGCAAGTTGTCTGTATAGAGGCTAGGATTCCATTGGAAGATGGGTTTTGATTACATCATTTTAATAATAAATCGCAAGTAGACAAATCTATTTTTAGAAACGGAAGTTATATTGATTGATATGTATGTTGGGTACTCCCCTTTCTATAAATAGACATAAACGGTAATGGCTGCATGTTGAAAGAAAGATTTCAGTGTTGACATTAAAGATTTTGGTAAATTTCCCTCATAATCGAAAATTGAAGGTATGCGACTAATGCAGTTGGGTGTTTACATAATTATTGTATCTAAAAAACCGAAATAGTTATTTGGTTAAAGGCCATGTTTGATGAAATTGTTCTAATTTCTTCAACTTCCTCTCTACTCTCACACTGTAACTCCCACGCCACACGGAGTTTTGTAGTGCAACAAGTGTCATTTCAGCAGTTTACAACAAACCGCAAACGATTTTGCATTAGGTCAGCCCAAATTAAGGATATTAGTTGGCAATTACTTATATTAAAATTATCACTTGGTATTTTTATGGTTCAGGATAGGCCTAACAGAAGGGTGAAGAGACAAGATTTTGATCCATATCCTGTAATGTCATCTCCTTGTTGACTGTTCTCTTGTCTTTGCTGTGATTTAAACAATATTTTATTCCTTTATTATCATACATAATATGTTTACAAATTATAATAATGACTGATTCAGAACCAAGCATGGTTTATATAAATCAGTCGCGTCTCGGCTGTATTGTCTTAGCTGTGATATTTATATTTGATTTCAATCATTTATATTAGATGAATTATTTGACTGAAATCCATTTCATTTCATAGATTTTCCTAAGGTATTGAGTTGGTATCCACTTCGGCTGTATTGTTGCTGCTGTGATATTTATCTTTGATTTCAATCGTTTATATTAGACGAATTATTTGACTTTCATTTCATTTCATAGCTTTTCCTATGGTATGGTATTTAGTTGATATGGTTGTAATAACCAACTGACAGTCAGGAACATTAGCAATGCTTCAAAATCACCAACCACAACCCTTACAAATAATATCACCACATGTTGTGGGTGACCCATTTTTCCCAACCGTCGGTCAGCGAAGAGATCGATGGGTCTTAGAAAGAACTCTGGGTTCTGGTGGATTTGGTACTGTGACACTTTGGAAAAATGAGGTTTGTACACAATACAGTCATTGTCAAGAGTAATGTTTTGGGAGAGGGTATATATATTTGAAACCCTCCTAAGATCTCTTCCTCACATTTTATTTTATATTCAATGAAGCATTTCTTCAAAGAAATATGAAATAACTCATCAGTTCTGTTTATTTTTTTTGTTGTATCAATAAATATGTCTGTTTAGATTCCGGCTATTATTTTCGGCACATTTACAACGGTTAATTTGACGAATGTGACCCTACTGGGAAGTGGCTATAAGCTTACTAAAAAGAAAAAAAATATAAAAAAGAAAACTGAAAGTTGAGTCTTATTTTAACTGGACTGATTTACAAAGAAAATTGAAAGCAAGGGTGACTACAGATGTTGGAAGATATCCAAATTGGAAATATCATGTTGCTTTACCAAGGTTTCAAGTTACTGTCTTCATTTGAATTTGAATATAACATGCATACAATAATCATATAATGATAGTTCCATAATAATATTTCTATGATGCTTTTATTGATTTACTGTGTAGGGAGTTGAAGTTTGAAGTAGTGATTAATTTTGAGATATTCACAATATTGATATGTTTGTTGCATTTAGGAAACTGAAGAGGAGATAGCTATTAAAAAATGTCGTTTAGAAGGCAATATGTCTCAGAAGAACTGTAAAAGATGGCAGATAGAGGTGGATATCATGAAGAGACTAAAACATGAGAATGTAGTTGCAGGATTAGATGTTCCACCCGGTTTGGAATCTCTACAAGACAATTTGCCATTGTTAGCCATGGAATACTGCTCTGGTGGAGATTTAAGAAAGGTGAGCCTTATTTTGCAGACCTGTATTTTAAATAAGTCTTAATCAAAAGTTAAGGGAAGCTATATTTCTTATGTTAGATGGTGATGAGAACATAGTCTCATGAAAGCACTGGCCTAGGTCACAAAGTAAAGATTTATGATAAAACAAGGTGCAGGTTAAATATTAAGACTATTACATGGTAAGTGAAGGGCTGTAAATTACACTGGGGCAGATAATCCAGCTGCCATCTCAAAACCTAATCAAAAACCCACAGATACTTGCAGTTACGACTTACATTTCTGTTATAATACGCATCATGAAATTACTCGAAAGTTTTAATTCTTGTTCCATGAAGATAGAAACTTGAGAAAAAGGATCTAAAAATATACTATTTTGATAAGGCTTTTAATCAGTGATTTGAATTTAACATTTGATCTTTCACTGATTATCCATATCCCATTTGCAGTCATTTTTGTTTTGGAATAATAAGGAAAATGTGACGTTTTTAACCTATATTTACAGGTATTAAATAGTCCTAAGAATTGTTGTGGAGTGAGTGAATATGAGGTGCGATGTTTAGCCTATGATATATCAGCTGCTGTGGAGTATCTACATAGTAATAGAATTATACATCGTGATCTTAAACCTGAGAATATTGTTCTACAACCAACAGGAGAAAGGGTAAGAATTTATTACTCAGCTGGCTTCAATTACATAATGGGAATTAGAGATGTGTATTGCTAAACATGTCATTTTACGATATGTATCGTGACAAATGGGTTCAAAAACAATGTGTATCGCAATATTAGCTTTTAGATAAAATGTAGCACTTTATCATTAGACTTGAATTTTTCACTGTTAATTGTCATAGATAATGGAATCATATCACAAGTAATTTATTGTCTATTATGTATTGGATGACGTTTTTTCTCAGCTGCCCTTTGACAACTAATGACCATCTATATTTCAGACTATGTACAAGTTAATAGATTTAGGTTATGCCAAAGAATTAGACCAGAGCAGTGTTTGTCAATCATTTGTTGGTACTCTACAATATTTGGTAAGTTCTTATATTCTTAGTTTCTGAGACTTCTCATCATGATAAAGCCAAATTTGGCATAATTTTTGGTATCTATACAAGGCTAAACCATTCATAAGTCCATCAAGACACTACTTGATATTTTACAATTGTACAATTGTGATGTGTACTCCTCAGCTTGAAATGTCGTTCAAATCTTAAATCTTTAAGATAAGTCTACCCCTCGACTGTATAGTGGTACCGTGACATCTGCTTAAGCTTATATTTAATATTGCAGGCGCCAGAATTATATATAGGACAGAAATATACTCAAACGGTAGATTACTGGTCATTTGGTACTGTAATATTTGAAGCTTTAACTGGTACTCGACCATTCTTACCCAATTCACCACCGCTACAATGGTAGGTAATTTTATTAAAGTTTTTAGCCCATGTGATTAGCCTCAGTAGAAGAAGGGCACATTCCTTATATCAAGCTATCGTTTATTTTCATTGACACCAAATTTTATGGATTTGTGCACGTTCGTTATGCCGTTAATTGTTGCTTCAAATTTTTTATCTATATACATTTTTGGGGTGTTAATTTGATTGGGTAACTGACGAAATCCATGAAAATTGACCACCGTTAGTTCATAATGATATGTATACTGATAATTTTGTATTTTAGGCATAATGAAGTCATGAAGAAATCTCAGGATGATATTTGTGCTTATTTTGGTAATGATGGAACTGTCAAATTCACAAAGAAATTATTAACTCCTAATCATTTGACCAAGTATGTTTCTTTTTTTATTAGAAAATATTCATTTCTTAGGATACATGAAAAAAAGTCGGAAAGCTATTCACTGTGATGTCTGATAGGTGATTTGTCAAGGATAATATTGTAGATTCACTAAGAATCCTTTCTACCAGCAGGTTGTGATCTCTCCTGAACTATTTGTTCCCATTTGCAGCTGGTTGGATTGCATATTTTTATTTCGATCGGTTATGAGAATTGACTAATTTATCAAGTTATTTGCATATTTTTCACATATTCGATCATGACTTTTCCCTTATCATCATGATTGAAAAGTTCCAAGTCTTGCTTTATTCTGAGTCTATTTCTGACCTTCTCAATAATTTGTAGGATATATTTTTCAAATACTACACGTTGAATATTAGACTGAAAAGAAACAGGGTAAAAAAGATTATTTCTTGTCAAATAATGGGAAGCTTGAGTTGGAAAAAGCTAAATTGTCACCTCCATATTCAACTTATTGTCTTCACTTATTTTAGAACGATGCAGAAATATTTTGAAGATTGGTTACGACAGATGTTGAGATGGGACCCGAAAACTCGCGGCGGCGGTATGTCCAATGAAAAACGCCAAAATTGTTTTCTTCTATTGGACAGAATTCTTTCTATCAAAGTAAGTTTGCCATTCGATATATATAGTGACTTTTATTCAACATCTTCAGAAATAAATAACATAACAACTCTGTTTCTTCTGTGTAGACTTCCAATACAAGTATATTATATGTAGAAGCTGATTAGATGTATCTATTTTGTAGATTTCCAATACAGGTATATTATATGTAGAAGCTGATTAGATGTATGTATTTTGTAGATTTCCAATACAGGTATACTATATGTAGAAGCTGATTAGATGTATCTATTTTGTAGATTTCCAATACAGGTATATTATATGTAGAAGCTGATTAGATGTATCTATTTTGTAGATTTCCAATACAGGTATATTATATGTAGAAGCTGATTAGATGTATCTATTTTGTAGATTTCCAATACCGGTATGCTACATGTAAATTCCAAACAGTTGTATATATTTTGTAGATTTCCAACATTATGTGTGAAGAAATCAATCAACTATACCTATTTGTAGAAGCCTATCAGATATATTTATTTTGTAAATTTCCAATAACCAATCAGTTATATCTATTTTGTAGATTTCCAATAACCAATCAGTTATATCTATTTTGTAGATTTCCAATAACCAAACAGTTGTATATATTTTGTAGATTTCCAACATTATGTGTGAAGAAATCAATCAACTATACCTATTTGTAGAAGCCTATCAGATATATTTATTTTGTAAATTTCCAATAACCAATCAGTTATATTTATTTTGTAGATTTCCAATAACTTATCAGATATATATATATATATTTTGTAGATTTCCAATATTCTGTATGTACCTATGTTTTGTAGATTTCCAATATTCTGTATGTAGAAGCCAATCAGTTAATCTCTGTGCCAGTATCCAGCCAACAAACAATGCAGGAATTACAACGTTTAATAGAACAGCAGACAAATATACCAGTAAATGACCAGGACATATTACTGGCCAGTGGATTAACTCCAGATTATAATAAACCTGCTTCACAATGTTGGTCAGAACCGGTAAGATTTTACTGCTGTCACATCTTGAGGGCCTTGAGTCTGTCATATATGTATGTGTATTCCCTATTTTGCAAGCTGTTTTCACAATTATACTGTACACGATTACTGAATCTTGTCTGACGCTTAAAGCTATCATGCTTTAATTATGCTAAAAAAAACTTTTTTTTTAAAAGAGTCTGATCCCAGGTTTTGTTCTGCCATATTTACTAATAGTCCCCTTTTCTCCTGAGGAGTTTTAATCACCCTGGGGGTGTGGGACTAGGGAGTCAGGGATGTGGCAAACTGGTGTAGGAGAAGAATTTTTTTTTTGAGTTGATAGAGCACTTCCTATCATAACGTGCTGAACATGTGGATGAAACAAATTTTTAGGGTGTGAATGGTCCACGTGATTGCTCCAGGGGTGTGAAGGCTGAAATAGGTTGGGAACCACTTACTAGCCTGTTGCCATACTCGTTGCCTAGCATGTCTTACCTGGCTTTTATAGTTGGTGAGTGGTTGCCATATTTCTGCAACAATTTTGAAGGTATATATGGTGGACCAATGATTGATAAATTAAAAATAATAATTTATTTTAAGGTATTAATAGTATGATAGCTTTAAATATGTACTAATATTTTGTTTTATCTGTAATGTAGCAGCGAGAAGAGGAATTGTTAGTTTTTCTATTTAAAAAGAGCGAGACTAATCTGTCAGCTCGGAAAGATAAACAACTACCATTAGCTGTACAGTATATTGTTAGAGAACCTAAGGTTATGTTAGCGTATTCTGTAAGTTGCTATAACTTGCCTTATTTATATGGCCCTAGGGGCTCAATAATCACTAGTTTTATGAGAATGTTTTTAAAAATTTGTATCTAATCTATTTATATTGATTTGATTGGTCAATCACTAAAATCGATTTTAAATTTAGTTTTCTTATCAAATCAAATGAATTTATATCTCAAAATCCTTCAGTTTGAAGGCTTTTTTGCATGCTTATCGACTACCGAAATAGAGCATGTCTAGATTATGGTATGTTTTATCCAACTGTTATCAAGATAAGGTATATTTTGTTTCAGGAACAAAAGAAAGCCTGGGCCCAATCAGTTTACTTCTGTCAAGAACAAAATAGAGATTTTCATCGTTTAATTGGTAGCCAACAAGCTGTAATGTAATTATTCCTTTATTTTATATATAATTATATCCTTATTTATCCATATCCATCAATATCTGAAACATTGTCCTTTTGTGTCTGACAATAGCACAGTCAGTGGCCAGATAAAATAACGTCTGCTACCAGATTAGATGCTGTGGATTTGAACATTGTATTCTTGTTTGAGAGTGGAATCTTCTTTGACAAATAAATTGGAGGCTCTCACATGATGATTTCTATGTTTAGTTATTATTTTCATTACTCTGTAGGTTGAGTTTATTGAGAGCTAACTCAGAATTTGTACGTCTAAAAAATCAGATGTCAGCTGAAGTTGGCCAGATGTTGGCCAGGAAAGATCAATTCAAAGAAAGGTAACTTTAAGTTGAACCAATAATTTAATATATTTCAGGCAAATATATTAATAATCCTATCATCTAAAAAAAAATCAATTAATGAAAGAGTTAGTAACAATTTTCATGGTCCAAGCTCAATTATATTTTATAATATAATTAGGATACTCAAATTGATTTAATAAAATCAATGAAAAATATAGTTTATTAGTGATGATTCTCATGGTCCTATTTCAATTCCCTCATTAAAATCTCTGACTATTTCTACGTTACCTGACATATTCTTAAAGGGTTCTCTCACATAAAAACAAATTGTGCGGTACTCATATTTCATCAAGATTCACGCGCATGTTATTACTCACATGTAAAGCTATTACGACACTGCTCTTGCATTACAGAATTCAGCAAATTAATTGGATTGTACCAGCGAATACAGCCAATCAGAGCCCTTGACAGAAAGGCTGTAAATATTATGGCTTTGTGTTCAATATTTCTGTTGAGGCCTCCGATTGGCTGTATTTGCTAACGTACAATCCAATCAAATCGCTTCATTTACAAACATCCATGATACAAGAAAGACGAATATAAGTCCTAAATTCGTAAAAGTTTGACATTGTGAAGATGGTGATTAGTATGTTGTCATTAAGATATAGGTCGAAACTTTTCATAAAGCTTTTGTCCTGTGAGCTCACTGACTGAGTTAACAAGAGCAACATCTTATTTATTAGTTTTAACTTCCCTGATGATGATTTGAATATCAAGAACATGTGTCTGTAGCTTTAATATGAATAACTTAATCTCATGAAATATTGAATATTCTACTTTCAGTTTAGAATTAGACATGAGCAAATATGAGGATCAAAAGAGTGAAGGAATTAGTAAGTTTTTTATTTTTTTTATTTATTTTTTTTATTTATTTTTTTTTTTTATCTAATTTGCAAATGTGAAAGAAGTCTTACAATAATTCTATCTATCACATTTTGTTTTGTATTTATTATTATAACAGTGAATATTTTTTGTTAATGTATTTATATTTATTGATAATATTACTGTTTCAGGGTCAGAACAAATGTTTTCTAAATGGGAAAAAACTGCTGATGAAATTGAGCAATATGATAATTTAGTAAGTTAGTTTCTTTCTTAGACATAGAATAAGACATATCTTGACATTGGCTGTATTTGCTAATGTACCTTCCAACCAAATCTCTGCACTTACAAACTTTTGTGATACAGAAAAATAGGTATTGAAGTCACGATGTTAAATGAAGTTTTGTAATACCTTGATATTGTGAAGATGGTATAAGCATCTTAGATTGTGCTCTTAATTACTTAAACAACCTGAAAATAATATGGACTGCTTGAGTGTATGTTTTGAATCATACCCAGATGTGCTGGACTATAATGCTGGATATACATATCTGTATCATCTATTAAAGTATTAACGTTTATAATTGTAGAAAGGATATGCTAATAAGTTAGATCAAGATGCTAGTGTATTACAAACCAGAATCATTGAGTTACAGAAAAGCCCTTTTGCTCGTGGTAAAAACTACACCCATCTTGCTGACTGGTAGGTTTAGATTTTTAGAAGACTTTTTAACAAGTATTGACTATTCTGAATTCGGAAATCTGAAAAGTTTAAAGCCTGAAATTTTAACAGCCAAGACTCTTAAAGTTAAAGAACAAAAACACTATCCAATTTTCTTTTCTTTTTTTTTATCCTAAAAATTGGTACCTTTAATTCAAAACAAAATGTTTCATTTGTCCAATATATTTTCCTTTGTAGTGAAGATAAAGCCAAGATTTTGTATGGAGAATTAAGACAAGCAGGAAAAGGTAGTATAAATTATTTATTTATTTATTTCATTTATATATTATAAAATTTTTTGAGGTTTTAGATTTAGATTCATATAATAAACTTTCAGAGATAACATTTTTGCTTGAGTTTTTAGATATTCCCATCACAGTGGGTGAATTCAATTGGTACTCAAACTAAGGCTCTGTCCGCTATTTTAATCCCATCCAAGAGCGGTGAACAAACCTCCTTTACTCTCTCCTACTAAACGCCCCTAATTAAAACAACCATATTATCAACGAATTACTTTGATTTTGTGCAATAATGACACAGAACCTTAAGTTTGTTGTTACCGGCACATTGAATCTCATTTCAATAGTATGATACCTTGTTTTTATTATAATAATAAAAAAAAAAAATATTTTCACTTTTAAAATAGTGCTGAATACATCAATTGTAGATCAAGTTTTTACTTCGTTACTCAGAGTTTCACGCCATGTGATCTTCATATAACTGACAACTGATTTGGGTTTTAATATTTCTAATAATGACACATACATATTTCCAGATCACAGGAATAATGTATTACTAGAACATACTCAGATGGTAGATGCTGTAACTAAATGCATGGTACATAGAGATAAAGCCGTATCAGAAATGATGTATCATATAAGGTAATTGTGGTATAATACAGATCATTCTGGGATTGGATTGTGTCCTTTTGCAATGTGGTGACTATGACCAAGGGTTGAGGCATACCTTTTCTAATATAGATTCGAGACAGGGGCTTATCTAGAAAATGCCTGAGACAGGCATAATAACTGGTATCTTTTTCGAGGCAAGGCCTGAAGGCCTAGAGACACTTGAGGTAGAGGGTCTGTAGGCTGTCAGAGGTCCCCAGAAGCCGACTGACAGCCTGACATGAATTTTGAGCATTTGAGGGCTTAGTTGGCAAAGCTGAGTCATTACCTCATATAAACATCACTGTAATTGGCCAGCCATTTTGTTAAATTTCAGTAAAATCTGTCAGTGTCGAGCGCAGTTAAACCAGCTTCTACCAGATATTGAGACATGTTGTCAAGATATTAACGCTGCCTGTAAACAACTTGTCTCACATCAAAAAAGTCGTCAACATGACATCTGGAACTTTCTCAAGATAGCTGTAAGTATTTTAGTTGTGTAGTTATCTGTGGGCTAAGTGGTAGAAAGGCATAATCAAAAATTTGCTTATATCGCATAAGACTTTTGCAAAGGTGACATCATAAAACACTAAGTTTTAGTTAAATTGCTAAAACCACAGACGTCTGATTGAAAATTGGAATGACGCAAATTTTAATGTAATCAGAAAACCTCTTTACTATCCCTTTAATTTGTGTTTCAAGTCTGTTTTGTGAGGAATACCACTATAATTTTTAAAGAATAAAAGTTGGTGTTCTGGAAAGATGAACATATCCTGTCATGCTTTATAATAAACCATTAATTATTGTATGTTTTATATATTTCAGCTCAGTAACAATTTAAGTCGATCGAATTCCAGAAAAATAAGTCAAAGTCGTCCACAGAATCATTCTGGTCCACAGTCGGGGCCTGCCCCTGGTAGCCCAATGTCTAGTTCTCCTTCAAGAGGCTCGAATTTCAACCAGACACCCTGCTCATTACAGTCTATAAATAGATATGACTCAAGAGTCGTCATTAAAGATAGCAGTTTATGTACTCAAAAGTAAGTTATCAGAGAAAATATCCACTCATCTGATTGGCCAATCGCTTAAATCGAATTTAAATTTAGTTTTAACATCCTTTACGATTTCGCCCTAAAAGATTTCACCATCCAAACATTTCTGTGAGGCAAATGGAAAAAGTTTTGATAGGAATAACACTAAGTTTGGATCTGAACATGACTGGCACCTATGTTTTTCTAAATATTACCCACAAGCTCTAACCTTTAGCAGCTGCAGACACCTGCTTGAATCATTTTAACCCTTTGTTTTTCATGTTAATTAATTAAACTAATTATATTTTGACAGGATGAATGAAGTAATGGCCAGTATTATAACAGAACAACAAGAGAGTATGTTATTAAATAGTTCATTAGATGAACTGTTACATCCAGGATCAACTCCAGACTCCAGACACTCGGCTACGAACTTTAACCCCAGACAATCGAATACAGACTTTAGTTCTAGACAATCGAATACAGACTTTAGTTCTAGACAATCGAATACAGACTTTCATAAGAGCCAATCAGAGGAAGAAACCCGGGTGATTCAGTTACGAAACGATCAGGAATTAACAAAAGTAATGGATGTCAGACCGAAAAAATGATCATTATACTGCCTTTTAGATAGAACTAACGAATTAAACACATGTATAATTTTTGAAAGGGAAGACAATTTAATAAACCTACAATGATATAACTTTGACATTTGAAAGTTATGAGATACGTATGTACCAACATAAACATTATAAGCTGTGTGGACTCTCTGGAAGGGATACTGAAAGATAATAAACCTCTAAACCAAAAGCATTATCAGCACTGTTGGTTCTTCGATATGAGTTGATAATCCCACATAACCAAATAATACAATTACCTTTGTCAACTCTGCGAGACCAAATGGAGTTGATAAACCACATACAAGATATATCATATAATAAGCTGTGTGGATTCTTTGATTGAGATGCCTTGTTGAGATACCCACGTACCAAAAATCTTGTTTATTAGCTGTCATTTCTTGTAAATAGGTTTGTGTAGTAGATGATATATGAAATTTCCAAGCAACAACAAGGAAGATAACTGATCCAACGAAAGTTTCTTTTGAGAAAAATGTTAACATGTGAGATTGAGAACATGTGTGATAGGAGCTAGAAAATGTCTGCATGTGGTTTTGATATTTGGAATATTTTTTTTTAGACTAATGAAATGGTGTAATGTTTTAGAGATGCATTTGTTGGGTTACTTGGATATTAATTCTGATTATAATTTCTTAAATTAAGTCCAAATTTTTTTGTCAAATAACTGTGAAACCAAGCTTACTGTATATTGCCAGTGTATCTGAATAAAGTGGATTGTTAGTGAAGTCTTGGACATATGACAAATGTGATATGTGGAAATGAATATAATCATTTCTTCTTGAAAACTCGTCTGTGTGTATTTGTGTATTCAAGCACAATTAGTGTTTTGTCACCAAATATACACTGTGAAGAGACAATAGTGTTCCAATTGAAGCATATATACTTGTTCTACATTCAGATAACATAACTTTACCCAGTATTTTTCCTGGGTTTTTCTCCTCTGAACTAGCTTTGTGTAAATAACAATTTTGAGATTCTATCTCGCAACGCAACTCACAAGTTGAGTTTATGTTTTTGAAATCTGTTGTTAAACAGCAGATTCCTTGCCATGGCCCTTCCAAGATGTAAGGAATATGAATTAGGTGAAACCTTTTTCCTTTAACCCTTTGAGTATAAATGAAATAAAACGTCATATACCCTGAACTCCCAGTAATATAACATAAAACGTATGACGTTAACATTTTGTGACGTCACTTGATAACGGCCGGTTTACTGCCAGCTTGGGTAATTGTGTAATTATATAGCCTGCCAGGTGCTAAGGTTGAACTTGAAGGCCTTTGTTGATCTTTTTGAATGTTGAAGAGAATAATATATAGTGATGTATGGATATATTTATGAATAGTTAATATTGTTGTAACTGTGATTTGTTGAGTTTATATTTGTTAAGTATGTTTATATATGATAATTGTTATCACACTGAAATCATTCACGCCTTCAGATATAGTTAAAGGGATAGTAAAGATGTTTTGTAATTTTTGTTTGTGTAACTGGTATACCTATAGCTTCCATTTGCACTCATCTGATTTCCTCTCCATTTTCTGTTGTTGTGGCAATTAACAAATTAATGACGCGATTATGACGTCACTATCTTAAAATGAAAGCAATAGTGACGGAATATTTGATTAAGTTTTTCGAGAATTTCAGGACAAGCAGTGCGATGCAAATGGAAACTTTAAGTTTCCCAATATTCATAATAAGACTAAAAACACCCCTATCTGTTAAAGTTGTTTGTATATATGCTGAATATAGGTCAGTTCTCTGAAGATCACATATCGTGAAACTCTGAGTACCAACTGTTTTTTTTTTAGGATATGTTTTGATATTTCTAATTGCTGTTTAATGGTATTAATCTCCAAATTGGAATCATCGATGCCGTTAATTTAATAGGTTAAAAAACGTGTTAATAACCTCCATCTAATTTCATTGTGACATTAATCATTTAATTTGGCTTATCACATTGTTTTAGTTGAATTCAAATCAAATTTTGGTCATTATCTCTACAAAATAGAGATTTTATCACTGTTATACAGTGCGCAAAGCATATTATTATTTGGCATCAACCCCCTCAGTGCTCATTATTCAAGGTTCAGTTTTTGCTATTTTATTAGCACTAATTTCCTTTATATGAATCACATGTCGCTCAATGATGGTCATGATTTTTTTTTAACCCAATTAGGCTATATGTGTTTAAACACCAGCCATTATATAATCATAATATGATACTTCATATTTTATTTGTTCATAATTAGTGATTTTTATTCAATTATCACATATTTATTATTCATATAGTTATATTTTTATTTCTAGCTTTTATTATCTATATTTCAATGGTCTAGAGCTTATAATCATACCCCCATACTAACATACCTGCCGAATACAAATTATCATATTGTTTTTCAAAGGTATTAGATTAGTTATTAATAGTTAGTTTTAAATTAATTGTGGGTCTGCAGAGATACAAGGTTTTATCAACCCAGCTGACAATGGTTATGGATAATCTGGGAAAGATCAATGCCAAAAGGTTTGGTCAACTTGCTTACAGTTGTGGACCAGACATAAACTTACTGATTGACTTTTATAGTTGTTGTCTGCTTGTATATAAACCCAAAATTATGCACTATCATGCTTGTTTGTATATATATATATATATATATATATATATATATATATATTATTATTGCTATCTTAGCAATGTGTTAAGACTGGTTGTGTCTGGCTTAAATCTGTATATCCAGTATTTTCTGTATATGATGTAGAGCATTGTTCGGTTGATATGTAGTTCAAGGATTCTTTAGTTTATATGTACTTGTATTTGATCTAAGTCAAGGCTCCTATATGTCTAATAAAAGAATATATTATATTTACTAGAGCTCATCTTATCTTATGCTGTTGACACATGTTTTGGATACAAAATAAGTCATCAGGATAATTAATGAGATTTCTATTTACTAGAGCCAATCTTATGCTGTTGACACATGTTTTGAATACAAACTTCACCTTTAGGATAGTTAATGCAAAAATAGATCTCAATTTTTTGTCATAATGTGCAAATTAAGCAAACCTTTGAACAGAATTAAGGTTGAAAATTAGTCTGCTGCTTAAAGCTTGAACTCTGTTGCTGCATGGAGATTATCATTTAAATTGAATTGAATGGACATAATTCGTTGATTCTGTAAAGGGATACATATAGCTGAAAATGAGTTCCATCAGCTGATAAACTATGACTATATCCCTTTTGAACTGATATCAGGTTATCTACTGGGTATATGCAGGGTAACTATTTGTAACTGTAGCTCATCGTGTCCAAACCACATCCCCATTGATATAAGACCATATCAAAACCTGTATTCATGATACAATGACTGTAGCTATTTGTTTGTCAAGGCTCATTATATGGTTACAAACATGATTTGCTCATTTTTGATTGTGCATATATGTTATAGATAAATTACATACGAAACTATAATCGTCCATTTTCTAATGTAGCTAATTAGTATAAGTACCTGTATATTGATTGAAATATATATTTTGAATTGAAGTTTATTAAATGTGCCCTCTCACCATAGTAGTTACCAGTTGTGTATGTTTGTGAATAATGAAAGTGGTCATGAAATCCAAACTCAATACACAACTCAGTTACATGAGAGTTGCTTTTAGATTTATGACCGCTATTCTTATATGGGGATTACTATGGTGTAAGGGCCCCTTTAAACAGATTTAGATTAAAGGGAAATTTCGAGATATTTTTTTGAAGGAATTATGGGATTTTCTGACATTTTTAGTAGCCTGCTCCTCACGACTATTTCTGACCCTTTAAAAACAAATTGTTAGATTTAGAAGACTAGAGTATTATTTATACATATTTATCATTATTTTCATTGTTATGTGAAACTACATCCAAATGCATATCTCACTCAGTCATGATTGGTTTAAAAACGCACTGTTAAAATTTCATTATAACATGGTCAAGTCTCTTAGAATTTCATTATAACATGGTCAAGTTTCTCTTTAAATTTCATTATTACATGGTCAAGTTTTTCTTCGAATTTCATTATTACATGGTCACGTTTCTCTTAGAATTCCATTCTTACTTGTTTCTCTTAGATTCATTTATTATAGTGTGAAAGTTAATTGAAAACTCATAGATTTTCATTATTTCATAGACTTTGTTCTGTGATCCAATAGAATTCTACTATGTAAAAGTGAATCGAAAGCTGGCACTTGATTGGTGAGTTCAGAACAGGTTCTTTTTTGTCTAATTCTGGCCTCAATCACATTCAAAATTGTCTCTTCTCCGCCATTTTGAATTCTGTCTAAACCTATTATTTTTTGGCACATATGGAACATATTCTAAACTTCTTTTCCTAAATGTCTGATTGATTTGATGAACCCCGAATTTGCAGAATTCACCAATCGAGGGTACCAATGGTGTAATCTAAAATATAAGCTTAATGCAAATACTGCTATTCTTTATTTTTGAAATTGAGCTTTATATAAACATGTTGAAAGAAGTATTATCATTTATCATAAGAATTCATTCATTCCATGTGTAATAAAATGTAGTATGTTTAAGCAATGAAATGTAAATTTTGTAAATAAAATATATAATCAATAAAAACCGAATTTTGATCAGTAACAGCTTACTAGGTTATATAGTCTGTGGGTATCTTCAAAACCAGACTTTATCACAACTTTTGATACTCATGTTGGGATTGTTCCTACCAGGTTTTAGAAGGATACAGAAGTATATATACATCCGTAGGCCTACTGTGTTTGTGTAGGATGCTGGATGAGCAAATGTAAAATGAGTATTGTCATATTTGGGTAGAAATTGAAATGAAATGAATGGAGTTTTACGTCCAACTTTTCTGCACCATGTGGGTGAATGAAGACGAGCAACGCCGTGGATGGTGCAATGAGGGAACTTTTGTCAGGACAGCGGCATAAGCGTGCTCTTTTTTTTATTTCCAATTTTCGAGGGATCTTTAACGTGCACAGCCTGTTGCACTTGGGGTTCTCGGTTTATTGTCACATCCGAACAACTAGACGCTTGTTCCATGTCAGCCCCTCTAACCTTCATCACTGACAGGGGGTAACCGGGTTGAAAAATCCGAAGGTGTCATCTTGACCTATGCAGGGATTGAACCCTGAACATTCAGGTTCGTGAGCAAACATCTAACTAACTGAGACACCGCGGCTCCAGTGTTGGGTAGGGCAGCAGTGATGGCAATGAATAACTTTTGGTGAACAAACCTGGATGATTAATATGTTTTATTCAATTAAAATTGCAACCTGAATGTATTGACATTATGCATCATAATAATAATAATACTTAACATAACAAACTTTATCATAAAAAATATAAGTAACTTGTACGCAAAAAAAAATATCAACTAACAATAAATTATATTAATTCAATAATTATTGGACCAAGATGAAAAATATTCCCTCTCACTGCAAAACCTGTCACTTCGATCAATTTTTTTAACAGTATGGTATCCATATCTGCCTTATTTACTACCCTCAAAAAATATTGTTTTCGATTTGGGAAAATAAGAAAGCTCAAAACATGTAATTTTTTAAAGGGACAGGTAGGGCATTTTTTTGACCAATCATACTTCAGTCTCAGAAATTGGCATTTTTTTACCTGAGCTGATTTTTAGTGTTCACAGCTCACCACTGAAAGTTCAGCCTTCAAATCCATGTGTGTCCAGAATTATCTGCGTTTGAATGTTAAAATGACGACCCGTTGATACTCTGTGATATATAGAAAAGACATATACAGAAATAGTGAGTAAAATTCCTAGTGTAAAGTATTTTTAAAGTACATTTTTGTACATTTTTAGTACTTCTGAAGACTATTTACATACATTCAAGACTCAAATAAACTCCCCAAAATCACACACGTCTCTTTAATATTCCCTTGCACTGAAAAAACAGTCAATGGGAGCAATTTTTGATCAGTAAGGTATCAAAAATGGAGTCAAGTTTCTTTTCTGTCAACTTCCAAAGGTCCATAACTCTGTTTTTACTAACTGACCTACTGACTGACTGACATGAAGGAAAATATTTTTGATTTGTGATTAAGAAACATTATTACAAAGAGATTTTCACAACTTTTAGAAAGGATTACCTGATCCTACGTTGGAAACCTTATAAAGTATTTAACAGTTAAACATGAAATTTCAACAAATTCAAATTAGAAATGGAAAATTTAAACGTGGACACAATTTGATATGTATATTATCATATCATAATTCATCATGCATTTTATTTTCATCAGACTCAGACCCGCACACTTCATCAAAATGACACTCATCAATTTGATTCAAATGTTGTTCACGGAATTTATTATACGAGCACAATGTTTCAGCACAACCTGGAATTTTAATGAGTTTCTCATTCACTAAAACTTGAACATAATAATCTTCTCCTAATTCTTCATATTCCTCTTCATCATTGACTAGTTCATCATTAGTTTCACATTCGTACAGTACAATCATTATATTGGCTGAAAACGGTAAAATATCTGAAGTCCTAAACTTTCTATTCTGATGCTGAGCAAAATTCTTAGCTGTCAGTGGAATTGTATCATTGAATATTCCTAATGTTGAGTATAGTGGTGATAGAGTTTCTGCATGACCAAACATCAAGTTACCAACCAAAAATCTGAAATAAGAAAAAGCAAGTAATTTTTAAATTAAAATTTTTTATACTATAAGCTTACACAGGAACAGGAACATGAGCATTCAAATAATCTTTGAAGTTCCTTGCTGTAAACAGAGGTGGCTGGGTGTTCAATAATGTAAAGTTTATAATCTTGATTGATATAGACTAATCTTCTTAATTATTAGTACCAAGGCATAGAGACAGTGTACAGATTAATGCTGATTACCGATCGACAAGCACATTGCTATACTTTTAATCAAGTCACCAGTCAGACTTCCAACAAAATACATCATGTACCACTAGGTAACTACTCATTTGTGTTATTTAATTTTCAAACAACATGTCTGCTAGGCAATAAGTTGCCATGGGTTCGAATCCTTCTCAAGATTAACAAAATTCTGATGCCATTACCAGTGCTTCTGGGTGTTGGCTCTCTATACAGGTATAAAAATTTAAGAGTTACCCATCAGCATCAGGATCATCTTCAGTCCTGTCCATTACTGTAATAACATCATCCATTACAGTAAATAATTCAGATACTAGCTCACACGTCTGGTCACTGGTTATTTTATACGCTGGTCCATACTTATAATATTTCTATTTCAAATAAAACACAGAAATAATGTTGTTATTTACGTTGACTGTCCAGAAATTATCCAAGCTGATCCCCCTAGGGTAGCAGAAGAGTTCAGCCCTTGCATCATATTACTTGATTCTCATGGTGCCACTCATTGGAGGCAATTGCCTGCAACAGAGCACTCTTGAGAAACCAGTGCAAACTAAGAACTAGGGCCTTCTATTCGTGAGAAAAAGACAAGTGGAAACAAGACTTGACCTCTGGCTACTCCACTCCCTGAAGCAAATGTAGCTGTCTTAGTGCATCCAGAATTGGGTCTTCATTCTAACATGATGACCTACCTTGGCTAATAAATAAATTAAAAAAAATCCATTAATGTCGAATTGACAGAAGCCATCTGTTGGAGTTCAGGATATATGATGTTTTTGATTCAAACTCAAGTGTTCAAATCTGAAATTTTTGGCCTTTTTTTCTTTTTTTCATGGCTTCATTAAAAGCTACAAACCTTGAGATCAATAGCATATTCTAACACTTCCATATCTTCATCATCAAATAAATCACACCACGGTGAACCTTTGGACAAAGCTAATTCAGAACCACAGATAACAAACATTGTCTTCAAATCAACTGAAAAAAAATGAACAGTTAAAAGTAAGAAATTAAAATGAAAAGCAATCACCAATTACCATGTACCGGTAACCCAAATTTCACTATGAAAGCTTATGCTTATATGGTATATACATTAAATATAAACAACAAATTATAACTAAATTCTGCTTGAGGGATCTACTACTAATACTTTTTCCATACTGAACTTGATTCAACGCGATTAAAAATTGAAGTTATGTCCCTTAATTTCTATCATTTAATGGGTGTTTTCTCTATTAAAATGTTATCTTACATGGTTCCAATACATTTTTATTCAGACCAAGTTTTCCAATCACTTTGTCTAAGACATTAGCCACTTCCTTTCCATTCATAAAGTTTACATATTCTGCTAATGCTGTTTTATTGTTTTCAACTCTGTCCTTAAATTTTTTACACAGAGAAAAGAATCTCATTAGTTCATCATTCACTTCCGAATCAAATTCTTCTGCTGATTCATCAGGAATTTGCAAGAAATCTGCAAATCCTTCAAAGAAAGCTGCAGCACTTGCCTCTGCGCGCTTGGCACTTGAAGTTATGAATCTAGTTGACGAGGAATCCTCTTCAATAAAGAGTGATTTCAAATTTTGAGCAAATCTAAGCCCCAATTGGTGCTGTTCCGCCTCTCCAGCATCATTCAACACCTTATCATTATTTCTTGGAAATGGATTTTTCCATTTCACCAAAGTTTCAAATTTTGTTTTATCAATGACGTCTTTGATTCTTTCATGAATTTCTGATATTTTCAGTGAATCTGATTTTCCTGGGTTCCTTGCCCCATGTCTGATTATTGCTGAAGCATGCACTGCCCCACACGACAATTTCAAAGTTTCAGCATTGTACAATTCGTCGTCTGCAATTTTCCTCTCTGGCGGATAAACAAACGAGTAAGGAGTTTTAGTTCCATAGCCAAAACTATCTACCAATGACAATCTTGATGAAAGGCAAACACAAAGGAAAGTGAAATAGATCAAATTCGTTCTTAATTGATACATTTCCATTTACTTTTTAACTTTTGAACTAAAATTACAAAATCTTAGAATGGCAGCAACTTTTTTATCGTAAATAACAACTTGATTGTCAGAATGGATGCCTCTTCAATGATCACTTCCGGTTTACTTTCAGTTTTGAACATGCAATTTATCGTATTTTATCTCCACGATATCAGCCCACACATTCCTTCAGAATTTATAGGCTTGAAATTTTCAAATGATATGAAGATAAACTGTGATAATTTGTCTATCAACATTCACAAACTCTTCCGTATTGACTAAAGAACAAGTATCGACTTCCGGTTTAGAATTTCAGGCATTGCCGAATCGTGTAGAGGAATTTAGGAAAAAGATCAAGAATATTATGTCTGATATCAATCAGAAAGACACTTCATTGCACGTGAGTTAACTTCTTTCATTTAGGAGACATTTGCTTCTGATTATGGCCTGTGTAACAAGTTTACTTCCCTGTCTCACTTCGTGAGTTAGTCCGAGAAACTGATCTGACTGATCATGTGCAATTGAAAGTTCGAAAATTGTAATGTATACAAAGTTAAAACGAGAGCTAACTTTGACAACTTGTCAACTGGGATAATGTAGACTTCTTTGGCCGAGGCTAAGCAAATATGATTGACGTCAAAATAATGGAAGGGAGCATAAACTTTGAGTCTTGTGCAGTTGGCTACAACCGGCAGTGGCAGTTTTAGTGCCAGCTTTTTCAGTTTCTGGAACTTGGTGTACAATCTACCAATAGGGAACGGATTGAATTACAGTATGTCCTGCTCACGCGACCACCTTTATTAAGCAATCACCTTCAATATCCCCCCTACGAGTTTTCATTGTAATTAACGACTGATAGCAACCAACTTCATTACGCGACGAGCGACCGTGTATTTACACTCCCGTGTAATCATATTGAGTCAATTAAGCGACCATGACACTTATTAAATCTCTTGATTAAACATCACGTTGTTTCACACATCGGTGTGATTAATCGAGATTATTGCTAATCCATCTAAGGATTAATTTTATAGCTTGTTAATGATTAATGTCAGTTTATTATCGATATATAAAGGCAGCTAAGCAAGAGCCATTCATTTTCAAAATGTCGAAGCCTACACTTAAAGTTTTATCATTGAATGAAAGGGTCAAGGTCATCAATTTGAAGTGACGAATTTACTCTCAAAAATGCTCTCTTTCAACAAATAAAATTACGGTTGACCGATCGCGGGTTATCCGTGAAATCCTACTCATATCGGTTAACCGATTAACCACTTCAACACTAGACGCCAACTGTCAGGATTGAGATTCTAAACTCAGAAGAGCAGGGGGAGTGGGAGAGTGCCCTAGGTGCAACCCTACCAAAAGAAAGTATTCTGACTGAAATTTCACAACCTGAATAATATCGCTACCCAATGTAATAGTTATACTTGTGGTACTTGTAAATATTTTCTCCCAAGGGGCAGATTCTCAAATAAATCAAACAGTCTTTCTTTCTTCTTACATGAAAACATGTAACAGCCACAATATTATTTACCTCTTTTTCTGTTCAATGGAAAAGCAAAAAAATACTTTATTAACAGAAAATTTTGGGATCAACAAATTACAAACAATGCACCCATTCGTACTTGATATTCAATTCGATTTTCAAATTATTCCCTTGTGTACAGAAACCGGATTTATGAACATTTAATTATTAACACACATTTTGTTTATTGAAATTAAAGAACTTATAACTTAAACTAAGAACTGTGCCTGTGCTTTCGTAACTTTGTCATTAGTACAAAGTTACAACCTTTACTCCCTACCATTGAAGTTCTGAGAGGTAATCCTCGGAGAAAAATTTTTGGGGCAAATATTTTTACAAACTGTATTTCTGACCACTTTCTGACTTTCTCTGCTGAGTTAAAGCCCTCGCTATAAGCTTACTGGAAATTTATTTGGTACGTAAGTGCATCACACTTGGTAGTCTTGTATTCAAATCAATGGAGCACAAACATTCTCTAAATTGCTAACTAAGCATTTTTTCCTCTAACTTAAAATTGCAAAATTTATTGAATGACTACAAATTTCAGCTTATTTTTAACAGGACATCAATGTCAGCCAATTTCTAAGAATGAACATGCAATTTGAATTTCTATACTTGGCCAAATAGAATATATATTCATCAGTGAACTTACATTATATAAGGATTTTATGGATTTAACAGTTAACACAGGGAATCTGTTATATAATTATAAGTTCGCTGATGAATATATATTCTATTTGGCCAAGTATAGAAATTCAAATTGCAAGTTAATTCTTCGATATTGGCTGACAACAGAATCCCTGTGTCAAGTCAAATCCATACAACTAAGTTGATGAGATCTGTGAAAAGTTTGAATAACTTTGAAGATGAAATATATAAATGAATGGTTTTTGAGTTATTTTGTCCCTGTCTTAGTTTTAAAAGGGCAAGTGTGCCATTTTGGGGGGTTGATTTTAGTCTTCAGAAGTACCAGTACTTTACACTAGGAATTTTACTATTTCTGTATATGTCTTTTCTATGTATCACTGAGTATCTTAAATTGACAAGTTGTCATTTTAACATTCAAACGCAGATAATTCTGGACACACGTGAAGTCACAAATTTCGACAGTGAGCTGCGAATACTATTACTGATTGGCTCAGCTACAAAATTCCATTTTCTGAGACTAAAGTATGATTGGCCTACCTGTCCCTTTAAAATGGTTATAAAGCCAATCAAATTTGTCTTCAAGAATATGCACTATATTGAAGTATGGTACTGCACCATCTGGGTTTGATGTGTAATATAATTCAAAAGATTTGATATGTGTAAGAAATATATTGATATTTATGATATATGAATGTATATGTATTTTTTACCCTTTTATTACATGTAAACTCTTATGATTTTATGATATTTATGATTTTTGCTCGACTGGTGTCACTAATTGACTTCTATTTGAAATTATATATGTATTATAAAATGTTAAATAGAATATTGATTCTAATAAAAGTGAGACGTGGTTGATATATGCCCACTGTATGATTGGTCATGTGTTATTTGATATAATAAAGAGAAGAAATCCTGAAAGCACTTGCCACATCATCCTCAGAATATACGACGAACATTATATGATAATATTTTAACACATTACCTCAGTTGTTCGTCTTTATTGACTGAGAGCAGAAGGTACGCGGTTAAACATCAGGTGTAAAACACAAATATGTCGGCTCAATATTCGTACCAAGCAGCCATGAACATGGTAGGAAAGGATTATTTAACTTGAGATTTTAAAGTTTTTAAAAGGATTTTTGACTGGGTCTGTAGAAACTTTTCTAAGATGATTTTTCTCGTAATTCAGAGTTTGTAATAAAATTTGATTTGATTGTTGAAAAGTTACTGACTGACATGTTTTTTACTGTAACTGACTTTGTTTCACTTGGAAATCTTATTAAACACAAAAATTTTTTGCTAATTTAACAATCTAGTTTTAAACATAATTCACAGATTGTAATAAATGACATCTCATTTTAATTGTTTAGAAATTACGGACATGTTCTTTACTTGTTACTGACTTTAAAAAGTTTTTATCAACTCCTCTAGATCATTAATTGTCTCACTTGGAAATTTACAAAAAGCACAAAATTTTGCTAATTTAACAAATCTAGTTTTAAACATAATTCACAGATTGTAATAAATGACATCTGATTTTAATTGTTTAGAAGTTACGGGCATGTTTTTACTGTTACTGACTTTAAAAAGTTTTTATCAACTCCTCTAGATCATTAATTGTCTCACTTGGAAAGATTTAAAAAATACAAAAATTTCGCTGTTATTTAAAAGTATAAAAGTCAGCTGGTTAAAGATGTAAAGAGATTTGTATGAGATTATACGCTGTTTGTATTATTTGAAGAAGGTCAGCCATATATTTTCAATTTAAAGGCTATTTGACCAGTGCTGTTGTATTCTGTTAGAAAAGTGACTTATAAATATCAGAAAAATAAATTTTAAGAGTAGTAATTTGACTTATGTATGGTATGTAAATGAAAGCTCACACAATCTGATATTAATATTCTCACTATTTCTTATTTTTGTATAGAAGTCAGATCTTGGAATTTATGTTAAAGGGTGCGCCATTTTGGGGGGTTGTTTTCGGTCTTGAAAATATGTAAATAGTCCTCAGATAAAAAAAAGTTCAAAAGAAGTGTAAGACCGAAGGTTGAATATTTCATACTGTTAATTGTTACTTTACTGCCAAATATTTTTATTCAAAATCAAAGCTTCCAGTGGGCTTATATTATCTTGCCTGGCAAGCTATCTTTTGGATTACTTTTTTAATTTTAATGTAAAATCCATAAATCAGCAAAAGTGTTGACAGTTATAACAGGAAGACTGGCACCACACTTCAATAGAATGGACTTCATTCTGACCCATTTTACAAAAAGAATTTCTTATCAAAAATGAAATATTATCATAAACTTATTATTTATGAAAGTAAAAGTTTCCGTTGTGGAAAAGTTGCACAAGCCTGATCTAGATTATGAAAATCAACTTAATTCTCTCTTTATGTGATTATATTTCAAACAGCAAAATGAATTGAAAGGAAAATTGAAATGACAGTATTTTCTATATTTATATCATGTAAATAAGACAACCTCACCAGCTTGAAGTGACATAATGATATTTATTACACTATCCTGTTTTTTAACAGTTCAATATTTCTGATAACTTAAAGGAATACTACATCAAAGTCTCAAACTTGGTCAACAATGGTATATATTCATCAGTTGGACTTACCAGGTGCCATGATTAAAGAATAGAATCTCTATTTTAAGCGATATATCCATTAAACTAAGATAATATTCCTTAGTTTTATGAATTATTACTTACTTTTATGGATTCGTGGATTGATTTTGGCAAAGTTTAAAAATTTCAATTTTTTGGTCATCTTAAGAGGTAGTGTACCTTTAAAGAGTCCTAAAGGAGTGTTTTTAATCTTTTCATCCCCTGCATGACCATTACTTTCAAAAGAGGCCCTGTCAGTTGGTAATGCCATCCTTTGCACTAATACTGTGACTTGTCTCTCCTCCTTTCAGCCTTCAACAAAACCAGGGATGTAGATTAGGCTGTATTTGCCAGACATGTTCAGCAAGCCAGCTCAAATATCTGTTATTGACACGAACCTGTTGGACATCAAATACAGGTTCTATAAGAGTGTTGGTCAAAATTTTCTTAAAAGAAAGGCAAAGTGTTGTATGAGGTGTAAAAGGGGATACTTTCATATAGAAGCACTGGCCTAGGTAAAGACTACAGTATAGTAAATAACCTTACTTATTATTGAAAAGCACTCATGAAATTTATTTCTGAAGAGATTTACAAGATAAACAAATAATTCAAATATTCAATGCAATAGCTTCAGGGTGGAAGATCTAATCTGCAATGGATAAGAATATTACTAAAGAAAATTATTTCTATTATATGCAGTGATCAAATGTGAGGTAACAATATTTAGAAATTCTTTTGGACTTCTTATTAAAAGCGTTTGACTATCACTGAAACCTTTTTAGCTCTGTAGTAATATTGTAGGTGGCAATGAAAGAATAATTTGTGGTTGTATAAGATTGTTAAGTTAACATGAGAAGTTATGTCAAGATACTTGTTTGTTTTCCTTGTGGTCTATTGATTTTAACAGATTTCTCATATTGTCATGAAATAGTTGAACATCAGCCCTATTATATATTCATTTACTTTTCAACATGTGTCTTTACTGTTATTTTTTTCTGAATCAATACATGAACATGTGGCATTTGGCTTTAAAAATCTAGCAGACAACTTCCTCAGAAAACCCTCACACACTTGATCATGTGTCATAATTGAACAAATTTGATTGGAGGAAGGTTATGATTGACAGGTGGAAGCCACATCAGCATTGTATAAACAGTAGCACATGATTTTAAATCTGATATACCTACAAAGTAGTAGGCCTAATAACATTGAACGGTAGCTTAGTGTTTGTACACAAGTTTTGACAGTAGAGAAGCCGGTAAAAATGACAGACGAAAATAGAAAGATAACCAACGTAAGATTTTAAAACTTTTACTTTCATAAATATTAAGTTTATGATAATATTTCATTTTTGATAAGGAATTCTTTTTGTAAAATGGGTCAGAATGAAGTCCATTCCATTGAAGTGTGGTGCCAGTCTTCCTGTTATAACTGTCAGCACTTTTGGTGATTTATGGATTTTACATTAAAATTAAGAAAGTAATCGAACTATTAATGCTGCTAAAATCACAAGTTATTTTGCCAAATAGAATTGGAACAAGAGTAAAGGAATTCCAATGAAATTGGCTTCAGGAATTCAAAGTTTAGACAGAGTTTCAAACTATTTTAGGTTAAATTTTAACAGTCAGCACATTTTATTGTGGGGTTTATAGAATTAACATGAAAATTTAGAAATTATTATTGCTGCCATACATTTGCCAAATTGAAATTCCAATGAAATGAACTTCAGGAATATAAAGTTTAGACTAAGTTTCAAACGAAATTAGGTTAAGTTAACCTATGTTGTCTTATATTATATTTGACTTCTATAAACTTTAAATATCATGTTACTTATGACCTAGTTAATGCTGTTTATTTATATTCAATGGAGCATTTAGTCTAGAGGAATTCTCTGTTATGTATTTTTTATGAGACTATTTCCAGTATTTCTACATGAATATCAGATATAGTATTGAGTGTATAGACATGCTCTGTTTTATTCAAAATGACTTTGAATTAGATTTTTCTGAATGAAAATGTAGGATGAGATATATGTATTTAAAATTCAGAATTTAGATTTATTTGTAGTAAATGGGGTATTGAGTCTAAGTCTATAGGAATTTTTCCTTGGAATACTTATTATATTTTTGAATGAAAATCCAAAGCTAAATGAGGTTTATATGTTTAAAATTGAGAATTTAATTATATTAGCAGTAAAAAAATGGTAATCCGAAATCAAACTGCAGGCCATAATTGTATGTTGTTGGATTTTGACTTTTGCTCTTTTTTTCAAACCTACAATCTACTCTTGTTCCATTCTGCAATTCTTGAGAGTTTCCGTAATGCTGAAAATTTGTTGCAGCGTTAATGGAACTTTCATGTTCAAGTCTTCGCTAGTGTTTTTGTCTTGTGCTTCTCTTAATGAGGAATGTTGTTGACACCATTCAATTGATTTTCACTTTTACTAACTGAGTATGTACTTCATATTCACTCATAATAACTATATATTGTAGAGATATAACTATGTATATAATAGTAATATTGTTTTCTTGGGGAAACACCTTTCCCATGACATCAATGTAGCATAAATATTATAGTGAAGGTTGCGTTTTAAAATATATAAATAAAAATGAATTGCATGGGTGGGTACATCATTTACATGTTCATTCATTTACTTTTTACATCTAGAAGTGACGCTGAATAATATCACTCATTGCACACTGCATGGATGTAAAACTCCATTCATTTCATCTATGAATCCTTTGGCTTAAAGAGACAGATATGCCCTTTTGATGGTTGATTTTAGTCTTGAATATATGTAAATAGTCTTCAGAATTACTAGAAATGTAAGAAAATCACATAATTCCTTTGAAAAAACTAGGAATTTTACTCACTATTTCTTTAATGTCTTTTCTATATCTCACAGGGTAATGTCATTATCACTTTCAATCGCAGATAATACTGGACACACATGGATTTGAAGGCTCAAATTTCGACGATTGGCTCAGCTTAAAAATTCCCATTTCTGAGACTAAAGTATATGATTGGTAAAAAAAAAATGGCAAACTAGTCCCTTTAAAGTCAAAGATCCCCAGAGGATTTTATATTGATTGACAAGTAAGCTATGTTCACTTATTATCTAGATCAACAGAGTGGGAATGAGTTCGATAGAAAATATATCACCCTTAATATCTGAGAGAAATATTCCCATCAATGTTGATTTGTTGAAGTTTAAATTTTTCGTCAATTAAATTCCAAAAAAACAAAAAATTCAATGATTCAATATTCATATCAATATAGTTGTTATACATATACATATTCATATTATGCTTTCAACACATGTTTCTGATATATTATCCATAATCAGTCCAGCAGGTTTGAAATTTGGGTTAAATATTTAGTTTTTGGACATCAATTGCCTAAACACATAAAGATGAGAAATACATGTATTAATGTTTGCAAAGACACATGAACAAATTATGGCAATCATAAGTGTCGACTCGTCTTGCATTTTAAATATATACATATGTACATACATTTATAACAGTTTATTTGCTCATGATAGTATTTATTAATGCTTATGTCCTTTTATTAATGCTTATGTCCTTTTATTAATGCTTATGTCCTTTTATTAATGCTTATGTCCTGAATTATTTGTGACCGGAAGCAAAGGTCAATATCTCAGCAATCTTTGATTAAGCATGAAATATAAGAGACAGTAATTTCCATTCAATTATATTGATCTTATTGAAAACCTGACTTTGAATACCCAGTGCTTTCAGTCAGTTAAGACATCTTGTAATGGAATTTCTATAGATCTCTAATTGGAATGTCGATCTCAGAAACATCAAGAGACTTTTCATATTGACTCTGGAATGGCTTGTGTTCAGGTCTGTAGAAAATGGTTTATTTCTTAATTAAGAGATTTTTATGGATGCAAAATATATCTTTATCCTCCAATATGGTAGAATTAAGACTTTGACAGAATTTTTAAATTGGAAAGTTTGGAAACACCAAACTATTTGATATGTGTCGTTCCGAACTGCACAAGAACTTTGTAAAATAAGATTTAAGAAATTAAGATGATATAAGTTATATATGAGTTGAATTTGGATAATGATTGGAGCAGAATTTTTCTGTCCGTACAAATGCCATGGAGAGATGCATCTTATAAAATGCCAACTGTTCAGATTTAAAGAGACACAGACCAGTATATTTATCACACATGAAATTTAAGAATTATGAAAGCACAGTCACAGACTTGAAAGTATCACTTTAACTGAAAATATGTAGTCCCTACACAAGTGTTAATTTTTTAGGTACAATGTTAGTCTTCATTGTCAATTTAAGTAATACATTGACAGTATTCCTTCAATTGAGTCTAGAGAGTGACACAAAAAACATTTATGCAAAAATATTCTTGAATAACAGTGGAAAGTGAAATTACAAATGAAGCTTTGATGATATATTGTAAAATTGAAATGAATAAATAATAAATTTAATATCAGTTGATATTGTCTATGGTAAATTTTGAAGTAGACTTTCGATTTGAGTATTTAGTAGCGAGATAACGTGTAGTGAAATTATTTTATAACTTGAAGCTTTCGGGCTATTTTGATAATATTGGACAGTATTATATAAGATATGATTGTGAAAATTAAAAAGTGAAATAAAATAAGATTTTATAAAGAGATTTGTGTCTTGATTAAAAAAAACACTTGGATAACAAGTCATGTTTGATCAAGGCTTAACTACTGGTTATCAAGTGTTGATTATCATATTGTATAGAAGATATGAAAATGTGTTTTATTGTTTTGAGTTATATAATATTGAAAGATAAGACAGTAATATAACATTGGTATATCTAAGTAATCTATATATATGTAAGTTAAAGATCTATGAAAATGAGAATTAATTGGCGTTTAAAGTAATACATGTTGTACAATTTCTGATTGACTTGAGGCCTAATTAGAAAGTATTGTTTAGTATTATATAATGAAAAATTAAATTGCAAGATTTTATGAAAATTAAAATCAGTTTGTTGGACAGATTGTCAAATGTTATATGATTTAGAAAGGATTTTATTTTATGAAGATTAAGTTGCTATAAATGTTTATTAGACTGGTTAAGTTTTCTAGTAGATTAAAAAAAGATTTCTCAGTAAAAGCAATTTAAATCTATCAAAATAATTATTAAATTATCATTGTGAAAGCTACATTTGGCAGGCTTTATTTATTAATGATGTAAATTGATGCTATCAGTGCTCCTGATACACATTAAAATTTTAGAAAACCTTTTTACAATCCCTTTAATTATAACACAATATGTTCATTGAACTATGAAAGGTTGGTAATTTACTTCATTCATAGTTTTCGTGATAAAACTTGACTAAAATTAGAATTTTTAAATTGTAGGGTGGGACTCTTTCTATAGTTTGTTGCTGCAAATGTTGGGTGTGTGCAATTTTTCTTTTGAAATGAATTCAACTAAAAAAAATTTGTGTTTTGATATCTAATATTTCGCAATCATTTGATATTATAAAAAGAAATGACTGGAGTGAACCAATTGATTTTTAAATGGATTGCTCTTTCATTCAGTTCAAGATATACACATGATAAACCCCAACTTTCAGGCTCTATATTTCTATCAGTGCAAACATATCAAAAAATTCAAATTAATCCATTACTTTGGTTCTTACTGTTAATCAAAAATCAAAGTTGATAAAGCTGTCAAAATAATGCAAAACAACAGTGTTAGATGGTGATGAGAACATAGTCTAATGAAAGCATTGACCTACCTAGGTCACAATGTAAAAATTTATGATAAAACAAGATGCAAGTTAAAGGTTAAGATATGTTAACTAAGGATGTCTCTGTAATGCTATCTGTGGTAGTATCATTTCTTTAACTGAAATAGCTGAAAATATAAGAGTCAATGTTCTTCTGATATATCAATAATTATCTAAAGATAAATCCCAGTGAATTCAGTTTAGGTCAGTTGGCAAATATCTTTGATAAGATCAGTTCTTATGATGTTAATCAGGTTCTTTTAGCAACGTGTAAAACTTGGTACACCGCTTAGAGTTCGGTTCCCTTATTTTCATTTATTTATATATATATTCCATTATTAGACGGCTAATACTTATATAAATCGAAAGCAGAGGTGTTCTAACGATTGGGAAAAATACCAGTATGTCTCTGAAGTCAATAATTAACTCGTAATTAACTGAACAAACTGGTATTTATTCCCAATCATTAGAACCTACATCGGATGTAGGATGTAGTACATTCTCACACAATCTTAGCAGTCAAGAGTACTTGATTTATTCATTAGAAACATCAATTAATCAAACAATAAGCATGATTTGACCAAGAAAAATAGGTAAAGGCAACTTTAAGGAACATGGTCGTTGATACAATATCTTTATGGACAGCTGATATAAAATGTGGGGAAGTAATAATAATGATAAATCTATATAATTTCAGGCGGTGCAGCGTGCTACCAATGTGGTATTCCAATCCCATCATGTATCAAGAGATAAGAGAGGCAAGGCTATTGGTAGTAAGTCAGGGTTTAGAGGTTGTACCATTTGGTTAACTGGTTTATCTGGGGCTGGTAAAACTACCATCTCCTTTGCTCTAGAAGAATACCTAGTATCCCAGGGTATACCTGCTTATAGTTTAGATGGTGATAATGTACGAACTGGTCTGAATAAAAATCTAGGGTTTACACCAGAAGACCGAGAAGAAAATATTCGACGTATTTCTGAAGTTGCTAAGTTGTTTGCTGATGGTGGTATTATCTGTATTTCCAGTTTCATCAGTCCTTACGCCAAGGTAGGTTTTAGATTTTCAATCATACCATCTTTAGCCCATTTGATCAGTGTATTGGAAACTTTACGTGACACCCTTTGCTTGATTTTGCCAAATGAATGATGGTCTGGGGTTCTAATCTCTGTCAACTTGTAAAAGCCTGTTGACCTTAAATAAGTCATATATTCCAGTTGACTCAATTGTAAATTATGGGAAAAGATTAATGCAAAGAAGTCAAGTACCTGTTCATCGTGAGCCTCCGTTTTTTGTTATCCTTGAAAAAGAGGTATTTTATATATGCAATCCAGTAAAATGAAAACTTCAATTTGTTTTTCGTGTTCTTTTTTCCTTTCTACCATTTTAGATCTTCGTCTCTGTAAAAATGTTCAACCTATCACTACTCAAACAAGTTTACTCGTTTCTTCTGCCAAATTGCGAAGTTAAATAAAGATTGGATAGATTGAACTGTCAAAATCAATCAAAATCTATCCAAATCTGAAACGCTAAATGATGATTCTAAGTCTACCTCATACAATCTTTTACTCTCAACATTTGTTTTACACATAAAATCAATTATCACGACAACTGGTTTGAAATAAAGTTAGATTTCTAATATTTGGGCTTACAAATCTCCTATCATGCAATATCTGTAGAATGTTGCATGTTTAAGTCAAGTGGGGGGCCCAGTTTATGAACTTTAATGTCTAAGTAATAATGTCTACCAGGTGAAGTTATGAATAATTTATCATAATGAAATTTTTATTTTTGCACTGTCATCTTGTCAGATAAAATTTAACTGTATCACTGTATACTAGTTATCTTGTTGTACCTGTGATAAAACCAACCCAGATATTGAACTATGATAAAATACAGTCCTATTTCTTGTTCTTTTAACTTGATACATTAGGTTTTTCAAGTACCGTAGCTACTTTGATATTGACCCCTATTGAGTAAATATTTATCAAATCATAATGCTATCTGTTACTGAAAAATGATAATGAAAGTCCTAAATAGAAAGTATCCTCTCTGAACATTGAAACTTCTAAAGAACATTGATTTTTAAGGTGCGGGCACACGAGCGGACTTGGTCAGAGATTTTTGTTGCCGACTAGAGAAAAAGTTTCGCCGAGGAGACAAAAATCTCCAGTCGGTCGTTTTCCATCATGTCGATAATCACATACAGAGCATGCAATTGAAAGGAAAATGAATCTGATGACGGTCTGTCTTGCAGACGATAAAACTATTGGAGACAATTATCAAACTTGTTTGATATTATAAATCCTGACAGGGACATGATAATCTTGTTGTAGCAACACGGGCACACGCAAGATTTTAATAAAGACTAATCGGTGACAGAAATTTTCAATCAAGACAGCTTGTGTGTCTGCACCTTTACTGAGAAATTTAGGGATAGAGATGACATCATTAGAACCCAGGAGAATTATCCATTAAGATTGTCATTTGTTATTTAAAAAAGATCTATCTGTAATCATATTGATATTAACTAAGTCTATTGGATGATATGAAATAACGTTTAAAGCAATATTCATTTAGGTATTTAAATTTCATGAGAATAGACAATTATTTCTATGTGATGAATCTATTAACAAGGTTAGACTATAGGTAATTTATTTTAATGATGGAAAATAGATTAAAATTAGAATTAGTATACACGGTTGAAGAAGCAGTAATCATATGCCTTGAAACTCTGTGATTTTCACATTTACAGAAGATTTTGTTAACCCTAACCTATTTTCCCTTCCAAGTCTTGATAGAGTCAGCAAGCTTCCTACCTCTTCCCCCTGTAGACCTAACAAGGCATAGATTTTAATAGTTCATATGAATAATTAAAGGACAGATTCGACTGTGAACACTATGATAAGTTTAGCTAAAAAAAAAATCCCATTTCTGAGACTAGGGTACGATTGCTGATGGCGAACCTGTCATAAGCACTGTATTGTTTCTCTGACTAATGATGAATATCACTAATATCATTGAATGGTATAAACTGAAACTAATTACCTGATACATATACATATACAAAGGCTAGAATATTTCTTATAAATCCTATAAACAATAAAGGACATTTGATATCAATTAATATCATAGGAAAATCACATAGCAATATGATAAACATGACAAAACAACAGATCATATTTCTGGTATCAATGATCGAAGTTTAAAATATAAATTGTATGAAACACAAGATGTGACATATATTTTAATGATATACTTGATAAACAGCCTGTATCCCTCGTGCTTAGGTGATATGATTTAAGTAATAGACATATATTTATGGTTTTATGGTGTTTGAGTCATGCTCAAGCGTGTGATAAAAGATTAAAGATGGGTTCCCTTATTTTCGTTTATGAAAATGAAAATGCTAATACCTATATGAATAGAAAGTAGAGGTGTTCTCATGACTTGGAAAAATACCAGTTTGTCTCACATGCCTATAATTAAATCATAATTAAAAATAAATTAAATTAAACCAAATAGGTTGCTTAATTTGACAAACAAGTAAACCCATCTTTAACGTTAATTTGTATGAAACACAAGAACTAGAATAATGTCAGAATAACTGTTATTTCATCATGATATCTTTTTATTATATTATAGCAATAGCAAAAAAATCTATTTTTTTATCAAGCGCTAATGTTTGAAAATGTATTTTAAAGAAAGGTTTTTTAGCCTTATATCCATCAGAATATGATAGATTTCTATAACTATCTAAGAGAAATCCCTCACGTGAATTTAAAGTCCAAGACAAAGCTTATATACGTTTTTGATTTAATCCTTTAGCGACATTTAGGGGTAGAGATCACATTAAATAACGGAAGACAATTTTATGGTATACTACGCCTTAGTTTTATTACACACTACGTTTCAACAATCTACATTGTCATCACTTCACTTCACCTGAAGATGACAATGTAGATTGTTGAAACATAGTGTGTAATGAAACTAAGGAATAGTGAAGATGACAATGTAGATTGTTGAAACGTAGTGTGTAATAAAGCTAAGGAATAGTGAAGATGACAATGTAGATTGTTGAAACGTAGTGTGTAATGAAACTAAGGAGTAGTGAAGATGACAATGTAGATTGTTGAAACGTAGTGTGTAATGAAACTAAGGAGTAGTATACCATAAAATTGTCTTTGATTTAGTGAGACATCCAGTATTTGATAGCTTTGCCCATTTAATCATTTAAGGATAGAGAAGAGGCCAGAAGACTTCATGAAGAAGCTGGGTTGAATTTTTTTGAATGTTATGTGAATACACCTATTAATATCTGTGAAGAGAGAGATGTGAAAGGACTCTACAAGAAGGCCAGGGCTGGAATAATTAAAGGTTTGTACATGGACAATATTTCTTTTCTGTTTCTAAATATTAGAAATTGGTAAAATTGGCGTAACATGTATGATTCTCTCAGAAAATCTGTTTATAATATCAAATTAACTGCATCATAAACCACTACAACGTGGAGTTTTAGTAGAATTGCAATTACTGGTTTAAATCAATGCTATCAGTGTCCTTGATACACATAAAATGCAGAAAAGTAGGATGTAAGACTTCATTCATTTCATTTCATTTGATACACATAAAAGGTTTAGAAAACCTCTTTACTATCTATGTAAGAGGGGCTGACATGGAAAAAGCGTCTAGTCGTTCGGATGGGATAATAAACTGAGGCCCTGTGTGCTAGGGACTATGCACGTTAAAGATCCCTCGACAGTTGGAAATAGAAAAAGAGCAGGCTAATGCTGCTGTCTCGCAAAATTTCCCTCATTGCATCCTGCATGGCGTTACCTGTTTTCATTAGACCATATGGGGCAGAAATGTAGGATGTAAAACTCCATTCATTTCATTTCATTTCTTTAATATCTTTAATAGATATTCCCATGTTTTTAGTATATATTTGAACATATATATATTATAGGGTTTACTGGAGTTGATGCAGCCTATGAAGCACCTGCCAATCCTGATGTTACCCTAAAGGCTGGTCATATCTCGGTTGATGAATGTGTTCAAGAAGTTGTTACTATCCTAACTGAGAGGGTAAGTTGAGTTGATGGACAGGAATTTATATATAAGGGGGATGTAGCTCAATTTGATCAATTATCTAAATCTTATGATGATAAGCTTCCAGGTCGTCCTATTACAAATGGGTAAAGCACCAATTGGGTTGCCAGTGATCAGCCATATGTGATCTTTCTTTTAGTGGGGTTTACATTGAAAGAAAATTTGAAACTTTTATGTACAAGCGTATGATTCATCAGCATTTGAAAATTGAAAATAAATAAGCTAGTTGGCACTGCTGTCTTGACAATGTACCCTCTTTGCACAGCAGCAGTCCAATATGTTGTCAGTAGAATATGGAACTGGTATTTATTTATCAATTGATGTCTCTATTTCTAGAATATTGTACCAGCATCAGCTGTACGAGCTGTTAAAGAATTATTTGTACCAGAAAATAGAGTAGATGCTGTGAAAGCTGAAGCTGAAAAATTACCATGTGTTGATATATCAAAGGTAGGCGTCAAATATTTCTATATCACTCTGCACCAGCTACAGGGAAATATCTTGCTTGCATGCTTACTTCTGTCATATAGTGTCATATTCAGGCCATGTATTCTCAAAACGATCCTAGTGCTAGGATGTCCTCAGTTCCTATCTTCTAACATTGATTCTAGGACATCTAAGATCGTTTCGAGAATGGGAGCTCTGGTCTCTGAAGGAAATATGTCTCTAAGCTCATATAGAAGAGGATTAGAGCTTAAATGGTTACTGACTATTATATGAGAGTATGTGCTTATCCTTTGCTATGATCGTTAACTGTTTATAATATATTAAATATGTTTTTTCAATAATTATGATAATTATTTTTGTATAGTTGGATTGTCAATGGACACAAGTTTTATCTGAAGGATGGGCCACACCCTTAAATGGTTTTATGAGAGAGAAAGAGTATCTACAATGTCAACATTTTGGGTGTCTATTGGATGGTTAGTTTCATTATATTATTCTTGTATTTGCCTAGTACATGATTTCTATTATATCATGATGAATAAGAGAATTTTATGGGTGGATACTTTATGGATAGAATATTCAATGTTTTAATGTGGTATTCACATAGTCATTATAAATGATTACACACAATAATGAAATATTCTAGAGGTACCTATCCATAAAACTGTCTTATTTATCTTGTGCTTCTTATATGCCATTGAAAAGTTACATGCTTAGGATATACTGAAACTGGTATCTTTAAATTACAGTGGTCTATGTATTGAAAATTGGAAGAGGACTCATCCATGTACAATCTAGAAAACTCATATATTGCATTACCAATATTACCATATAATTTCTTGATTTTGATCATCCTAAAAATGGGGTGAAGGGAGAGTGTACTTTAGAGTATTCAAAATATTTTCAGTAATTTTTTAACCTTAAATCATATGTCCAAGATCTGCCAGTTTGTTACCTGTATTTGAAATCTCCTATACCAGTCGATTTTAGATATTATCATCCACATTAACTTTAGACATTGATGTCTAATGTGACATGTGAAATAGAATTATTCAAGCAAGAAAATCAGCTATATATACAATTATGTTTTCATGTGAATGAAACATTAAAACAGAACTTGAATCATGTTGTTACTCAGAGTTTCACGCTATGTGATCTTCAGTAAACAGTTCTGTTTTAATATTTCTATATCGCTGTACAATTTTACTGTGCTCTATTTTAACAGTGAAAATATATTATATAGAATAGTTCTGCAGTTCTGCACTGTTTATTATTTTGAATGACTTTAAGATAAACACGTACTAAATGTAAGGTCTAGAAATCTTGATGTATTTTTGACAAGGTGTAAACAACCAAAAATCAGCAAAGTTTAATTTAAATTATCACATTTGAAGAAAACATTAATGAATGTTGATTATTTTTATAAAATTGGAATATATGTGTATTTTGTTGAATATAAATTGAGTCTTATATTTTAACATATTTTAGATATCAGGAAAGTGAGGAGGGGGGGGGGGGGGAGTGATTCTCATCTTAATTGTTTTTTTTAGTCATTCTATTATTTTTCTGTCCTCAATTATATAGACTAGCTCTTCAATAATATTAGTTCATTATTCATTTCATTTGTATGGTAAATATCCTTTATTATTTCAATAGGTGTAACCAGCTTCAAGTTACAGATGTCTTATTTTATATATATTTTGTTATGTTTTATTCTCTTGCCATTACATCTGATGACGACACGTGTATATTGTGTGGAAACGTTATGTGTGTAATATTCCATAATATTGTCTTGTGTTGAAACGTTATGTGCCCAACCTTATTAAAGAAGTGTGTTATATTCCATAATAATGTCTTGTGTTTTGTTATATGTGCTCCTTGCTTCTATATGTCGTTCAAATCTTACATCTTATTTATAAACTAACCAAAAATAGTTATTATTCTTTTCAATAGTGAACGAATTGTATCTTGTTATTTCAGGGGGAGTAACCAACCTATCTGTACCTATCGTGCTTCCTGTTACCACGGAAGATAAGAAACGGCTAGATGGATGTCATGCGTTTAGTTTACGCTATGATGGAAGTTATGTGGCTGTACTACGAAATCCTGAGTTTTATAAACATAATAAAGAAGAGAGATGCTGTAGACAGTTTGGTACTAGTAATGGCAATCATCCTTATGTGAAGGTATAAAATGATTTGAGAGAATATTATCAAGTCTTAGTTGATATTTGAGTTGATATCTGGTGATGCCATTGGTTGGCTTTCTTAAAGTGTGGCCTAACTATCCCCATCTTCTGCTCTGGATCTGATCTTCAATTGACTGTTATTTAGAACGCTGCCACAGGTCTGGGTTCCTTATGGTGTTGGGAAAGTGGATCTGAAAGATTCTTCTCAGGCAGTTGTTAAGGAAAACTGCCCTGTTGGTGGTGGTCTTTGTTGCCCTCAATGTCCTGGCTCCATTTAGTAGGCACTGACTTGACTTTGGATTAGAACAGCTTGATCTTAATGTGATTTGAGACTGCTCCTGGCATGTAGACAAAAATTTCTTGTGTTTGGGTATCAGGGGGTGGTGCCGACATCAGACTGACTTTCGAAAGCACTGGCACAATCATGAGAATGTTTCTTACCTTGAGGATTCAAACCCACGACACCTAATCACCCAGCTTGCTATGGACTGTCAGGTGATTGTCGTATTTATTAGCAATGTAGATGGTTGGTAGGTAGGTAGGTAGATGACAAGTTGACGTTCGCTTCCAGCAGATGCTGATATCGCAAACTAGATAGTTGTTGGTAGTCGTAGTAGTTGGTAGTTGGATCATAGTTGTGTGTTATACAGGAAATATGCTACTACATTTTACATAGTTATGTTAATAGAACACATATTTGTAGAATAACTAAATTCACTAATCATTTGGCCATCCTACGACAAATACTAGTAGTTGTCTTAGCAATGATAACAGTGTATATATGTATGATATTTGTAGAAGGTCTATAACAGAGTTGATCTATAAATTTCTGATATATATGTGATATTTGTAGATGATCTATAATAGTGGAGACTGGTTAGTAGGAGGAGATTTAGAAGTCTTACAGAGAATAATCTGGAATGATGGGCTGGATGAATATAGATTAACACCTAAAGAACTACGCTCACAATTTAGAGAATTAAAGGTATATATTCTGATATAATGTAGAAGGTACCATGGCATATATCATATAGCTAATATATAGTAATATAGTTGAAATGTATGAACTATTCAACACAATTTTGTGGGTGGGTGGCAATATCTTGTGCTCTAACAATTTTAATAACAAGTCTGTTGGGGAACGTGAAATTCCATGAGAAGCATAGAGAAGAGAACGAATTGCAAAAAGGAATACTGTAAATGAAATGAAATGGAGGTTTACATCCTACTTTTCTGCACCATGTGGGCTGATTGAGACGGGCAATGCCATGCAGGGTACAATGAGGGAAATTTTGCCAGGACAGCGGTATTAGCCTGCTCTTTTTCAGGAAGGAATACTGAGAGAAAATCATTCTGCATTTGAGTTTTGTGTAAGACAGAGTTAGTAATATATTGTGAAGATGATTTATTCCTAGATTTTTTTATTTGATAACCATGTATATTGTAGGCTGATGCAGTGTTTGCTTTTCAACTGAGGAACCCGATTCACAATGGCCATGCTCTATTGATGAAAGATACCAAACGGAAATTGTTAGAGAGGGGATATAACAAGCCTGTATTATTGTTGCATCCATTAGGTAAGTAGATAGAGAGATTAGAATTCATTTGGAGGTTCCAGGAGTCAGAGTGTCAGTGCAAGAACTGTTGGTTAAACAGCACTTTCTGGAGTGCCAGTAGAAGAACTGTTGGTTAAACAGCACTAATATTTGACTTATTTTGTCAAACATTATATCAATGTATAATATACTTTCTTCGTGGGACAGTGACGTCAGACTTCACAGATTGTTGAAATATATCCAATTTGCAATAATATAAATCAAATGAGGAAATGTGTGCAATTATATACACAAATGATTGGTGTTTTTATCAAGCTGGGAAATTTTCACAAGTGTAGCTTCAACTGTTTCAATACTAAATTTTATTTATAGGTGGTTGGACTAAAGATGACGATGTACCACTACCAGTGAGAATACAACAGCATCAAGCTATTCTAGAAGAAGGTATATTAGATCCTGATTCTACAGTACTAGCTATATTTCCTTCACCCATGATGTATGCAGGTCCTACAGAGGTAAACAATATATTCATAAATTATTACAAAATTGACATTAAATTTGAAACTGATATGTGTTTCATTGATCCATTTATATGGAGTGAAAGTCGCAGAATAATTCATTTTGAAAAAGGTTTCTTTGAGCTGCCAGTGATCCAAACTAACAGAACTAGAAATTTTGTTTTATGATTTGATCAATGATTTGTTAATACGGTATCAGGTTCATTAGCTTCAAATCCAGAAATGACAGGCATGGTAACAAAATAATAAGGACGTGTCTTTGATTTTCTTCAGGTTCAATGGCATGCAAAAGCTAGAATGTGTACAGGCGCTAATTTCTACATAGTTGGGAGGGATCCTGCTGGAATGCCACATCCAGATGGCGGAAGGGACTTGTTTGATCCAACGCATGGTGCAAAGGTGAGCTTTTTTCTCATTTAACAACCTTAAATATGACATCTTTATTACTTCTGTTGACCCAGTAGTCATATTGCATTTATGTGGTCTTAAGATATCAATCTGTATTAAGAGTTACCTCTCTTAATAAGGGAGAACCTGAATAGAGAAGGTCGTCAGAGGTTTAACCAAGGACCAAGTGGTGGAAAGGAAACTCAAATTGCTTGTTAAACATGAATGTTGCTTCCTATATGTACATTGAGACAAGATAGGCATTACAAAAAGTTGATTACATCCTTGATGAATGATAGAGTCAATTCAACACAATGATGGTTAATTTACTGAGAAATGGGAATTCAGTTTCAAAATAAAATAAACAAAATGTCTTCACAGTTTTCCTGAGAATGTTTATGATTTTCTTTCTAGGTATTAACAATGGCGCCAGGTTTAACACAGTTAGAAATAGTTCCATTCAGAGTAGCAGCGTATAATACCAAACTCAAGAAAATGGATTTCTTTGATCCAGAGAAGAAAGATGACTTTGATTTCATATCTGGAACCAAAATGAGAAAATTAGCCAGAGAGGGTCAAAATCCACCGGACGGTTTCATGGCGCCAAAAGCATGGAAGATACTGTCTGAATTCTATCAGTCTCTAGCGAAATAATGATTAGTTTTCATGGAAATCTAGATTGTGCTTTTTTATATATTAATATTAGATTGCAATTTATTATATTAAACCACTAAACGATTATACCACATTAATTTTATGTCTGATTGATGAAATCTACCTAATTTATAATTTATTTTGGTTTCATTTGTTTTAAAGTTACTTACAGAAAGTTTAATCAGAACCAACGAGATAATGATGATGAAAATTTACCAATATGAACTTTGAGGTCAAAGCGCACATAAATCCTAGAAACTCGTGACCTATTTTTAATTCTCAATAAATGAATTTAAGTTTTTATTTTTAGTGAATGAAGTGAAATTTAATCAAGAAATTAAATAAAGTGATTGGTTGATTAAACAAAATTAATGATTGACAAATCAGATATGAGTTTTTGAGAAACGGCACGGGGACTTAAAACACCTGTCCTAAAATATTGGACAAAGTTCGGACATAAAAATAATGTGATGTGGGGAATAATCATGGTCTCTTTGTCAACATTACTCTTTGCATGAATTTTACTCAAAACTGGGAACAAACTCACATTTCAAGTTATAATTTATGATTATCATTCATGATAGATTTTATTTTAATGCTTTTAATCTTATTTTAAAGTCAATCCATCAGCTATTTTGAATTTGATTAAAATACAGATGGAGATGTTTTATTTCATGCATCTTCTGTTGGTTACTGCACTAGTCATAAATGATTCGAGAAATCAAGTTGAGTTAAAATTAGGACCACAAACATGTGTCGTAACCTGTAGAAAACAGATTGAGCTAAATTAGGTGCAATATAATTTAAATGAGGGAGTATTAATTTTAATTGGTGAACCTGTGATTTACAATGAATTACATTTTTTATTTTGGGTCCAGAGCTGGGAACAAAACTATTCATATTAAATATGTGAAGACGTTCAATTTATCTGTATATCTTTTGAGAAATGCGATACTCAATTTCCAAAGAATGCCTTCATACTTTCATATAATTATGCAAATTTTATAAAAATGCTATTTATTATTTATGCTAAAGTGATAATTAAAGTATTATGTTAATTAAAATGGAAATGAGTTATTAAAATGGTATACCGATTTTAGTTTTAGTTTTCAATCTTATCCTTTTCATATTAACTAAAATGTGACCCCACACCTCATATCAGGTATTAAGTTGCACTGTCTAGTAATAAGCTGGCAGTGAAGTATTAAAGGGGATTCAAATCTGGATATCAAATTGACTATATCTTCTGAACGGAGAAAGTTATTGAGATGGAATTGTTATCAAAATGTAGCATGTCAGGAATCCAAATACTAATAGCTCTACATACACCAAATGCTGCTTAATACCTGGTTTGATGTGCGGGGTCACAAATAATGTCCTGGATTTTATTTTACGGAACTTTCCAAAATTTGTATTGTTATCATCATTAGGCTATTTCACATGATGATGACAATGCTAATTGTTGAAATGTGTATAATAAAATCTAAAGTAAAGACCTGAAGAAATGAAATGCGTTCCATTATTTTATGTGATCGCTATTCAACCTCAATGATAAATCATACCCAGGCAAAAGCTCATAAAAAATTCCCAAGAATGCATATACATAAACAGATCTCTAAACTATTAGCAGTTTATGACTAAAATTCAAATGAAAGACTGAATACATGTATACATAGAAGCCTAAGCTGGATAAGCCAAACCATTTATTTTCATCTGTAGGCTAGGCTTAAACGTTTATTAGACATCATGAGAGGCTCAGTGGCAGAGTCTCAGTGGCAGAGCCAGGTTTACGTCTGAGGGGAGCGAAATATCTGACATAGTTATGAGATTTTGTGAAGGGTGAGGCTGCCCCACGCCCCCACCCCCTTTTGACTCACTGGAGAGTCTTCAAATCAGTAGGTTAAGCAATGATTAATAGAGCAATAAAAGTGAGTTATTGTACGTTCATCACCATACCATACACGTTCTTGCACATATCATAAAGCTAAGCGTGCTTTACAGACAATTTAAAGATAACATAAGATATGTGGAGGGTTTATCGGACTATGCTATGAAGATGATCAATTCACTGTCAAACAGCCCCAAAGGCAAATGTAAACAAACGCACGAGTGCTGAAAAAACAACTCTACACTGTTTGACAACTTTTAATTGCAACCCTCGGATGTGGTATAATTTTCCAAGTAGGCAGTACGATTTTCAGAACCACAGGTCTGTAAACTTGTACAAAAAGTAACTGGTTAGTGTGGACTACCAAAAAAGGAATATGGCGGGAGAAAGCATAACTAAGGTTGGCCACATGGCTTCTCAAGTCGATCATAACAAATACAATTCGCCCTTGGTGTCACGTTATGCCAGTAAGGATATGATCTACAATTTTAGCGACCAGAAAAAGTTTTCTACTTGGAGACGTTTGTGGACTTTCCTTGCTAAAGCCGAAAAGGTAATGTTTATGACATGTTTGATTCAGCCACGTCTTCATCCACAATTGCTTCATCCCGATAAATGTACTATAATCCGAAAACTATGCCAGGTCCATAATTATGTCATTCTTTTGTAATTTGGGGGCTTTCAGAACTCGAAAGTGATTTGTATAGACAAAGCACAGATTCATTTCCCATTGATCTGCATATTAAATTCAATCTTAAAGGGCTTATCCCATTATTGCTTGTGCTCATTAAGTAGCCTATCTGTTTATCTTTTAATCTAATAATGCCTAATGTTATGATAGTTTGAATAATTGTCATTAAAATTCAGATGCAGGATAAAAAGAAATTAAAGAAACATGCATGGTGTATATTTGATAGAATCCAGGTTTAGAACTAGTAATAACGGATTAAAATTCATTGTTCTATGGGCCGTATACAGCGCTCTTACCTTGACTTTGGCTAAAGTCGAACTTTACAAATTCAGGATTAAGGCTTTCATTTTCTACATTTGATAGTCAAATTTAAGCACGACTTTCGTAAAGATTGACCTGTGCATACCGAAAGTTCGACTTAAATCTAACTTTAGTCAAAGTTTAGGTAAAGGACGAGCACTGCATATGGCCCAATATCTTTAATGCTGAAAGAAAGCATGAAATTTGAAGAAGAATTATTTAAATCATAGAAACAAGGTGTATATTTTATAGGAGCTAGGTTTAGATATTAGTGATGATCAGATAAAAGAAATGGAGGAGAATATTGAGAAGATAGATTTTATCAAGGCTGCTGAAGAAGAGAAAAAGACTCGCCATGATGTAATGGCTCACGTTCACACATTTGGTATTTGTTCTCCTAAGGCTGATGGTATTATTCATCTTGGTACTACGTCAGCTTATGTAGGAGATAACACTGTAAGGGGATACTAAGCGCTATTTTTGTATGAAGACATCTTGAATTTAATATAATGGCCATAAAATGAAACAAAATGGGACAGTGCAAAAGTTAAAGTTAACATGAAAAATGTCATAGATTGGAACAAAATGTCTTGCAAATTTTTACTCCTGCAAACTTTCATTCTACATCAGTATATTTCTTGTATTTAGCCTGTAATTTGCTAAATTCTTTTTTAAAGAACTTCAAGATTAATTCCGAACATTATTTGATCACAGCTTATACATAGTAAATGATATAAAAATATTAGTAATGAACTTGTCCATGACAGATAAGATCCCCTTTCTTCATCTCCCATGCGTTGCACATAATGCTAAATATATAATTTTGTTAATCATGTAAAAATCTAGCTTAAACCTAATATTTTAACTTATTTTCAGGATATCATTGTGATGAGAGATGCATTTGATTTATTATTACCTAAAGTAAGTACATAGTTTTATAATTCAAAATGACAACTGCTACAGCATGGTTCCCGCGGTCCTTGAAATTCCTGGATTATCATGGAATATGAAAATGGGTTTTCAAGGCGTGGAATATTCTTGAAATTCCCAATTTTTCAGAAATGCCCTAGAAAATCCTTGTTTTTGTTGAAAGTTTTATTTTTGAATCATTTGATAAGCTCTAAAATATGTGATTTCGTTCTCGATCTAAGTAATGTGTTGGGTAATATTATCCCTATTTTTAAGATGGACTGACCCCAGTTGTAACAGTAACAGTAAACATTATTTTGACATCAAGCTGATTAACTATAGCCATTATAGTCAAGCAAAGATTGTAGAGTGATTCAAAACATAAAGAAAAAACAGTCTATTTTTTCGTGTTAAAAATAAATTGTGTTTACTACTTCTATACTTCCTGAAAGTAAAGAGTACTACTCATGATTTATCTGTAATCACACCTGGATGTGCACAATATCTTTAATTGACTATAGCCACATGGATTTTTTCTTTGTAAAATGTGATTAAAGGGAGACAACCAATGCTTCAGGAGAATTATGGCAGGAGAATTATGGCAGGAGAATTATGGTGTTCTGAAGCTAAATTTTTAAGCATCATGTGAATTGATCAGTTATATTATTATATTGTATTATTTCAGTTAGCAAGGTGTATTCAAAGATTGTCTCATTTCGCCAACCAGTTTAAAGATCTGCCTTGTCTATCTTATACACATTTACAGTAAGTTTTTATTTTGATCTGTTTCCATGAAATAGTTTCATTGACTATGAAAATGACATGTTCATTCAAAAGCCAGTTTCACAATAACAACCTCAAGCTTAAAAATATTCTTGTCTCACAACTTGGTTTATCAAAGATTTAACTTTCAACATAGTAGATTCATTGGAAAAATGATAAGTTTTGTAATACTGGCTCCCGATTTATGGTACTTTAAAGGTACCAGTACTCCTATAACACGACACATAGATATTTTCCTTATCATTCTATAGTTGTCTGGCTTTCTTTGTAGACCTGCTCAGCTATGTACAGTGGGAAAAAGGGCGTGTATCTGGTTGCAAGATCTTCTCATGGATTTAAGAAATTTAGAAAGAGCTCAAAAAGATTTAAGATTCCGTGGTGTTAAGGGTACAACAGGAACTCAAGCTAGTTTTCTGGCTCTATTTGATGGGGATATAGATATGGTTAGTAGTTTTTGAATTTAATTGCAGACAAACCTCATGTATTGTGCACTGAGGAAAATTTTGCCTGGACAGTGGGACATCATGGAATTCATTATGGAGTATAATTTATAGATTTCTTAGCAATTGAAAAGAATGTTTATTGCACGCTTTGGATTTACATCAACTAGATATTAGTGAATTTTCTCCTACAATTCATCCCCACAATTTCATGAGATATTTATTTGTATTTGTACAGGTGCATAAATTGGATGATCTGGTAACACAATATGCAGGATTTAAAAGGTATATCTTTTCATATTTCGTGATTGAAGTAGAAATTTTACTTGCTGTCACAAAAAAATCAAACAAAATAAATTTTTATGGCTAATGAGGGCAAGCAACACCATTCAGTATTATCTTTCTTAGCAAATTTTCATTTTTTTTTTCCAGCCATTTCTTAATTTGTGGGCAAACTTACACTAGGAAAGTTGATATAGATTGTCTTTCTACCTTAGCCAGTTTGGGATCATCAGTTCATAAGGTAATTTTTAAAAAATTTTATATTTATCTTTCTTTAACTTTTATCTTATCATATTGGCCTTCTTTGACTTTTGATAAACCTAGAGCTTGTTTGAAAATTTTCATCTGAACTTATATGAAAATATTTACATTTGATTGTCACATGATTCAGTGAACCCATTCATTTACCAATCTCCGATGACGTAATGACGTAATCTCCTATGACAACCCGGGATGTGGCGTATGAATACACAAAACTTTCAATTAAAAATTTTCGGTTTCCGAGTTTGTATTTAATATCAAAGTTATTTGTTTCTCTTACAGATGAACTTTCAGAAATGTATTTTCATTCGTTTGTAAAAAAACGACTCAATTAACCTTGCACTATTTTATTTGTGTTATTGTGTATTCATGTGTCATCGTCAGCCTAGCAACGAAGTGGAGGGGCTTAAAGTTAATTGACAGGAGTTGTGGTGCTATTTTTCCCCCACTTTTTGCCGTTCATTCGAATTAACACATGATAATTCTGCGTTCATCAACCAATGAATGCGAAAAAATCTACATTCAATTCTTAAGTAAATATTTTGTTTTACTTGATTATTGTACTAAAAAATGATTCAAGGGAAATTTTCGGTGAAAAATAGGACCTAAAATAATTTTCGTCAATTTGGTCTCTCAAGTGGGTTCATCAAGAAACACACCCATAAATATGTTTTGTCAAATTGGTCTCTCTAACCTTTACCACTAGGTGCAGGACATCAAGAAACACACCCATATGACGTTATTGTCACCATTTGTGACAAATATGACTGAAAATATTTACACCCTCATATTGTTTCTTGACTAGATTTGTCATCCTGTAAAACACCTGTGAGCAATGGCCCGTTTTCATCCAATTTTTTCATTTCAATTTCTTTGACAAATATTTGAGCAAATGAATTCAAGAGTTGGTGTAATAAATTCTGATGAATAATGTAGGATTTAGTATGATGATTATATTTGATTGTTAAAATAAGGACATATTTATGAAATATTACCCAATACTAAGGTAATAGGAGATAAAACAGTTATCTTGATGGGCTTCTTCAAAGTTCATTACCCAGCTTAAGAATGTTCTAGAGTCTAATTAAAGATGAGTTTCCTTATTTCCATTTATACATATAATATAACACCAAACGAATGCTTGATTTTACTCTTAAAAATGCGAAAAGCCATCTTTAAACTTTAAAATACCTTAAAACATGCTGAATAAGAGTGATAAACATAAATATAAGACATTAATACACTCTGATTATTATATCTATATATCTACATACAATACAATATAATTATATACTTCTTTAATATTTCTTAGAATACATGATTTAAAGGAGCTCTTCCACATATATAACTAAAAAGAATTCAGTGCACTGCCATTCTCCATGGCAACAAAACATTACAGGTGGGCCTATATCCTATTAGCAAAAATATTCATGCTTATCTGGAGATAATTGCAAATGTTAGATCAGTTCAAGGAAAAGAGTGAGTGGATATGAAAGACAGCATGCCTCGCCTTGTATTTCTTACAACTCATTCCACAATTCTCTTTAGAGGGACAGGTACCTTTAGATAGACACGTACCTTAGTCTCAGAAATGGGAGTTTTTTATCTGTGCTAATAATCAGAAAAATGTTCGAAATTTTTGCCTTCAAATCGATGTGTGTACAGAATTATCGTCGTTTGAAAGTTAAAATGAAAGTTATGTAGACTTCACCATATACAGAAGAGACATATAGGTAGAATAGAAAGTGAAATTTCTGGTTTGAAGTATACTTGTAGAGATAATGGGACTTGCATGCAGATTAAATATATTCAAGACCCAAATCAACCCCCCGAAATGGTGAACTGCCGGTATGGCCTTTTTGGTTTATATGTAATACGATCTTAAGGATATTATAATGATAAGATTTTTTATAATTTTATCAACATCTGATTCAGACATTAAGATGAAATTTCACACTTTTCATGGTTAACTTAAACTCTGCATGTCAAAAGTCAAAGAATATTTATTCTTGTTCAGTCATTTGGTAATCTTAAAAATTTGCAGGTTTAGCAATCTCCATTTCTGTGAGAGTCCTTGACCTTGAATAAGTCATCTTGTCATCGTAAAAAATGTTAGTGTGAGATGCGGTGGCTAAGTGAGATCACTAACCTGAAGATCCAGGGCTTAATCCCAGCATAGGTCGCGATGGGATTTTTTAACCCCTTATCAGTGATGAAGGTCGAAGGGGCTGACATGGAAAAATAGTTTTTTTGTTAGCTTAAATTTTGATGCTATTGAGTCAAAATTGCACCTAAATAAGAAAAGAAATGTCAAAAGGATTGGCCTCTAGTTATCCGTATTTTCATGGGTCTATTTATTGGGTTGATACATAACAACTCAACTATTGTAATTGAATGAAATTATTATCATGTCAAGGTAACTTTCGTAAATTTGTTGACATTCCTTTTGGGGGTGTAATTTCATCATACTTTTGTTAATGACTGTTGTATCTGTATATTGATAAGTAAATATTTGCAGGAAAGTTAGAATTGCCCATCTGGCTATGATTCAGAACATAAACACAAAAAGTGCAGTTCAAAAAGTAATATTTACCTTTTATTGCCACGTGCTACAGTGAACCAATGTGAGAAATTTTGGCAATGATTTTATCCTTAAAAATACCGTGATAGATTCCTGAACACTAGCGAATGTAACTATAAGGATTGACTGTTGATTTGTTTGCGTTCATTGGTTGACGAACGCTGAATTTTCACGCGTTAAATCTTACGTGAATGGCTTTGCGTTCATCAACCATTCAACGCAAAAGAATCTACATTCAATCTTTAAATAAACACAATATATGGCTTGTTTAGTTTCAATTACTTTTCATTCTCCCTCAAAAAACGGTAGACCACAATTTGATTTGTCCCTGAATGGGGAGGGGCACAAATTTAATATTGAGAAAAGTTGATATATATTTTTATTAAACACTCATCAATAATCTTAAATTATTTATTATTAAAAATATAAATAGAATAATGTTATTTTATAAAGATAATAATTTAAAAACCAACAATATCACTTCAACTCTTTAAAAACATGGAATTTTATTCACCGGGCCGTACAAATCCATTTACCACATAGTCAACAGGGCTGCTGATCCAGATGTATTTATAATTCAAGTCTGTTTGGAGCACCAAAATCATCTCCATGGTTTTTCCAGCTCTTTTGCTCTCAACCCCTTTCGTTTAACTGTTTTGAAGAAATGTCTTCTTTGTTAGCAATCTTATACATATTGATGGTTCTGGAATCTATGATTCTAACCAGTCATAGTATCATTAAGTAGCACAAATGGCAAAGAACAGTCGCACCTTAATGTGGTCCATTTGTACACAGGAAAACAAGAGTTTTTGAAAACATAGGTCTCTACATCTCAGTGTGAAAATGGGAAATCATCATCAGCTCTAAATGTTGTTCATATATACACAGAAAATCAAGAGTGTTTTAAATCATTTATACTTAAAAGTTGTCTGATTTCAGTAAAACAAGTCTATCCTTGACTGCACTTTTTTTGTTCTTTGAAAATATTTCTGGTGGAATGCCATCAATGTTATAAAAATGAGCCATGTCTGATTTTTTTTTAAAAAACATTTAAATGTCATCCAATTTATGTAAAGGAAGATAGACCTATGTCTATTTTAGATTGTTCTTCTTTGTTTTAAAAAAAAAAACTCAAGGAAACCAACATATCTGGTGGATTATCATCAATGGAATAAAATAGATCTATATCTATCCTCAATGGTTCTCTGAATATATTTGGTTAAATGTCATCCAATTCAGTTAAGCAAGATAGACCTATGTCTATTTTAGATTGTTCTTCTTTGTTTTAAAAAAAAAAACTCAAGGAAACCAACATATCTGGTGGAATATCATCAATGTAATAAAATGGAACCATGTCTGTCCTCGATGGCTCTTTGTATATTTTTCACCACTTTACTGTTTGTTCTCAACACTCCCTCTAGCCTGTTATTACGATATAAACACAGTAATTTATCTCCGTCAAGTTTCTGTAGAAATATCTGATGTTTAATTGTTGGTGGAAGTTTATGTTTATCGGCCCACATTAACATATAACTATGAGGAAAATGAGTTATTCCCCTTGGCCAATTTCTCGTCTCGAAGTGCCAGTTATCAGGGTCTAAAAAGATACAGAATTGTTTGAAAATAATCAAAAACTAAATGTAGATGAAATGAAATTATTATTGAACAATCTCCCTTAGATTTTGCTGATTAATCTATTGCAGAATGGTAATAAAGATGTTGAGCATGCTCCAATTACTTCCAACCTTTTGTCATATTAAAACTTTAAACAGATTAAACTGCAAGTTTTATGGGCATGGATTTATAAGTTGATAATTTACAGATTGAATAAGGAATAATTTAGGAGCTTAAATTCATATTATGGAAGTCATTGTCAAAATAATTTTTCAAAAACTTTTTAAATAGTCCCTTCAAACTCAAAGACTCTACATATATTCTATCACGCCTGTCTTTTCGACAATAATTTTCAATATAAAATGGACTGTGAAACCTCTGGTTAGAGATTCCCAATATTTTTGTAACTGTCTATAGGGCAAAAAACTGTGTACTAAGCATACAAGTAAACGCTATATCTATTGTTATTAGTTTAATATTGCGTAAAAATATCCATCTTTTTCCTTTCTAAATTCTCCTTACCTCTGTCGTCAAATTTAAATGATGTAATCCAATTACAGTCCTTAGTTTTACAGCGAAAAATTTCCGTTCCATATAATTCACCGTTATGTCTGATACCAGCTTTCTCTTCATAACGACTCATATTTCTCTCGCCGCAGTTCGGACATGTTGAAAATCCACTGTTCCAAAACGGTATACGATTCAAATCATTTTGATCACCAGATGAAAACTGATCTGACCATATATCTTTATTAGGATCTGAAATAAGAGAACATCCAAATTACCTAGAGCTACATTGTATATTTCCCTTGTAGCATCATATTTATTTACAAGTACAGTAACTTACACAAATAATGGGGGTAGGCTATATAATATATTATATTAACTGGGAAAAATTTGGGGAATTTTAGATCAGAAGATTCTTTGATGTTTGAAGTTTGATAAATTTAGATTCATACTAAGCCTCTATTCTTATAAAAATATCAAACAGGTCAACTAAAAATGGACATATAGAATGACAGGGGTGCTAGAACCACATAGGCAGTGCCTCTGTGCCTGTAACTTATGGAAGCGGTAAACTTTAGTAGAACTTTGGGTACTCTCATGGAAATAGATACTGGCTCCATGGGTAATGATCAGCATGTTTTCTGAAGGAGTGCCAATTTGACAAATGTAGATAAGCAGTGTCAGAATGTGTGCTGGACTGGAAAGTTAAGCATGCCCCACCCCTCTAATGAGCCTCATAATATGGTGCTCAAATTAGATAATTTTGTGTCTGTAGTACTTTATGTTTTTATTTTCTGTCCTATATTTGACCTGAATTAAAATCAATTAGAAGAATGTATACCAGTAGGCTATGTCAGTATTAAGCTGAGATTCCATATACGCGTCATGCGGATCCGTCATGCGTTAAATATCAAAATGGTTGGTTTAAGAGGGTATGATTACATATATGAGGAATGCATATGCACCAAAGCATCCATCTGTCTAGAAGTCTGTGCGTCAAAAGAAAGATAACACATACTTTTAACATATTTGACACATGACGGATCTGCAAGGGCCATTTATGTCCGTATATGGAATCTTAGCTTAAGACTAGGTATTATTTGAAGGTCAGAAATAACAATTGAAAGTTCCTGTCCTATATTTGACCTGAATTGAGATCAACTTGAAGAATGTATACCAGTATGCTATGTCAATATTGGACTGGTTAAAATGTAAAGGTCAGAAATAACAATTGAATGCAACTGTCACATTACATCTCATTTTGAAAAGGTTAAAATACTTGAGTAGTTATTTTGATTTAATTTAATTAAATTGATTGTTCGCAAAATTTGAATTTCAAAACTTCATTTTAAAATTTGAACTAAAAGTTAAAATGTTTGTATTACATTGCTGTTATGTTGCAAATTTTATACACTTTGGTTGTATATAATATGTAAATTCTACAAAATGTTTAGTTACTCCCTCTAAATAAAGGACCTTGTATGACCTAACAATTTATTATTGTATTATTGTCAGCTTTACTTATCTCTTTCCTAGATTGACCTATTTGACATTAATGAAAGATAGAGTCTTGTGTGCAAGTGTTTTCTGTTTATTTGTTATTTATAAATCATCGTAATTTCTACAGCTAGATTATACATGTCTATCAGAGACTGATAAGATTCAACAACTTTCCGATTAAGTCTTGTGTTAAAGGAACATCTGTAGCGTCTTGCATGTCAACTTCAAACATTATCATAAAAACTCCTAATAATATCTAAGGCTTAGTTTAAGAAGATTTGCAAGAACCACAAATGTCTGACTGAAGAGTTGAAATATGCAAATTGTTGCTATTGGTTACATAAAAAGTAATGAAAACCTCTTTAAAATCCCTAATAACTTGAAACTAAAATGGATATTTGAAAATAAATTTAACTTACCATCAACTTCTGTGACTCTGCCTGAAACTGGTGTAATAATAACAGAGGATCTGGCACTGAACACTAGACACTTCTTCTTGTCTGGAGACTTGAAACAACTCTTAAATAACTTCATTTTACTATCATAAAACAGTAATCTATGATAACCTTACACCATATATAGTTGGAATAGCTCAGTCAGTAGCGAGTTTGATTGTCATCTGTTGGTTATTTGGTTATTAGGTGCTGTGGGTTTGAATCCTCCTCAAGGAAAGAAAAATCCTGTGCCAGTGCTACCGAGAATCTCCCAGTGTAGGTCTCAACCCCTAATATCATATACACTGATATAGTTAAAATACAGCAATACCATATACACTGTTACAGTACATCTAGTTATTTCACTTATGATGTCTAGCTAGTGAATAACATATTATAATAACCAAGGTTTTATATAACTTGGTAGGTAATTGTTATATGTCTAATACGGGTATTCAGACGGGTATTCAGACACGTGAAAGATTAAGCCCACATCATATTTCCTTTTTGTTGATATCAAACCTGCATCTTGACATTCTGACAATTTACAGTTAAGATATTTTAGGCTTGTTTGTTTTGATTGTGTCAATCATGGTTTAACTTTATAGTTTGAGACTGACATTTTCCATTAAGTAGCCAACTTTTTAAATTTTAAACAAAACAATTTAAAAAAAAAAAATTGTCTGAGATATAATTTGACCAGACAATTATCAATCCAAGCATCTGATAAACAAGTTAATATAAAATATTAAATATGTCTTTTATTTAATAAGAGTCTAATTTGCACATTATGACAGCATGCTGAGACAAATACTCAAGACTTAAACATAATATAGAACAGTATACAGTTCTATGAACATAACAACAGTTAGACACACTTATTTGATTTAAACAATATTTTATTTCTATATTAAATGAAATTTTTACAGAAAATAAGTAAGGTTTCGTAAAAAAAAGCCGAAGCTTATGCTAATCTGGCACACTTTGTCATTCCAAATTTATTATCTTTGCTGAAAGATATTGGGTATGTTCATCGGCATTCAAGATGTCTGAAACTACTACATATTTTTTGCAGCAAAACCGTATAATGGACGATGATAAGTAATCATCATGTCACATGACCTTTAAACTGGCCAATCAACATGATCGCACTTAGCTATTAAGCATTTTGTTTTGTAAATATGAGCACACATGAATAATGAATGAATTATGAATATACGAAGGTCACTTTGTTAAATGAAATTCTTGCGAATCTTTTTGATTAAAGTGAACCATGCACTCATCTATTTGTTGATGAGAAGGAATGGTTTTAATAATGATGAGTATAAACAAACACATTCTTTTTTAATATCAAAGAAAAACATTTTTGGTTAGTTTTAGTGATAAATATTATTATTAGCAACTTTTGTGATAGTGATATCATAAAACGCTTAGTTTTAGTGGAATTGCAGGAACCACAGACGTCTGATTTAAAATTGGAATGGTGCAAATTGATGATATCAGTTTAGCAAACCTTATTACAATCCCTTAACACAAAACCTTGACTTGACCTTGAAAGTTTATATAATTACCAACCTGCAGCTAACTGTTAATTCTTTCAATACAAAGTGCTAAGTTAAGGTCGTTATGTTTTCAAGAATAGATCTTTATGATCTGGATCTGGATTTGTAAACAGTCCATATTTACAGTTTATATTAGAGGAGCATTTAGCTGTTTTTATAAAACGCTTTCATTATTAATAACATCCTAAATTTTACCTGAAAATATTTATACTGAAAAGTATACTATTTATATCTATGTATCTTCTTGATCAAACTGAATTTGTTTTAAAATCGTTAATCACAATTACTAATTGTTAATTAAGCAGTTTGACCTAGTTTTCGGTGTTTAGATTTATAATGGCTCGATATTATTAGTTTTAGAATACGTATGAGACATATTTCTGCACAATTAGATATTTATTTTACTTAAATCCTTACAGTAGTCTTCTAACAGGTTCCAAAAAGCATAACAAACAATTAAAGGGACACATTCTCTAGATTTTGGAGAAAAGACTTTACAAATTTGAGCAAAAATGTTTTCGGCCTGCGGAAAAGCGAATTCTTCTTAAAGGTACCTTTTGAGTTCTCGGTATAATGGTGACTTTTATCAAACAAGCATAAATGCCTGACAAATCTGGTTGTACCTAATGACATGATATACAAAACGGCTGAGGGGTACGATTTTCCCTTCTTCGTACAACACCATATGTTCAGCCAACTCCTTAACTGTATATTGGTACCCTGTGGGGTACAGAAACATTTTAAAAATATCCGGCAATGTCTTGATGGACTCATTTAAGGTTCAACTTTATATAGATACCAATGATTTATGCAAACTTTTTGCTTTTGACATGATAAAAATTATCAAAAATAGTGACCCGAAAGTAGGTCGGAGCATATAAAATGACAATTTATGTCGTGTCGATATCCCATCTGTATATTAGGTCAGGGGAACTGCAACACTGATTCAACTTTTGTTTTAAATCTGTCTGAACAAAGACTTGAAAATTGATAAAAATTGTACTCATTGGATGATGTCCTAAAACAAAACTATTCCAAACAATATTCTGGAATTAGAACTATACTATACTTTACCATCTGCTTGTTTTTTTTTCAGATTTGCACTGATATAAGATTATTGGCTAATTTTAAAGAAATTGAAGAACCTTTTGAAAAAGAGCAAATTGGTGAGATAAATTTGTAAACTTCTGATCTTTATTTAGTACATGGTGCTTAATGGTTTTGTCAATATTTTCACTATCAACAATCCCATAGACATGATACCTTTATTTGGTAAGACATGAATTGATCTGGTTGTATCTCATACCTCTATTTGGACCATTATAGTAGTTTTAGGTGTCATGTGAAAAGCAGAGCATGCTTACTTTGGAGGTCTCAACTACTATACAACTTTATTCCCGATTTTGCAATTGTTGGGATGAGATTTTTGATTGATGGAAGTGTCTTGCTTGTACAGGTTTAAAATGTAACTTGTCTATATTCGCACCTTCAATGAGATACAATGTTATTAATCTATAAGTATTATGAGCAATACAGGTTGCAATGCCATGCTGTATAAGATAATCTTATTAATAAGATTGTTGAAAGTTATGCATAATTTTAGGATCCGAAATATTTTGATATTATTTTAGGATCCAGTGCTATGCCGTATAAGAGAAATCCTATGCGAAGTGAAAGATGTTGTGCGTTGTCCAGACATTTAATGTGTTTAATACAAGATCCATTGATGACACAATCAGTTCAGTGGATGGAGAGATCGTTAGATGATAGTGCCAATAGGTCAGACAAATTGATTTTTTATTTAAAATTAGTTTTACATTCTTTGAAATTTTTCTTGTATAGCAGCATTAGCCTAGTAGGCTAGATTTTGCATTTGACAAACATTGAATGTCATGTGTAATGGCTAACCTATATTTGATGTCCGAGAGAGGATATTGACCGTCGGTTATTTGAGCTGCTCTGTTGGTCATGTCCATGTCTACTCTTTTTGGATTTTCAGTTGTCTAGGATTCGAAACGCTACATTTTCTTTGAAAAATTTATTATGAATATATCACTTTCTCACTCTACCCTACCCTTATTTATCAAATTTTTATTTTACAGGAGAATAAGTATAGCTGAATCATTTTTAACTGCAGATTGTTTACTAGGAACTTTACAGAATATATTTGAAGGTTTAGTTGTTTATCCCAAGGTATGCTTACATCACATTTTAAAGATAAAAAATGTGCAAGTTTTGAATGATTTTGACAATTTAAACATCAAATTTGCTAAATTAGTTTGACAAATAACATTTCAACAGTCCTGAATGTTGTTCCAGAATACAAACCTAGCATACAAGATCCTTTTCTATTTTCATTTCTCATTTTGTCCTCACGTTGAAAGTTTGTAGAGATATGTTATAGTTATAATATATTTATATTGAAACAGGTGATAGAAAGAAGAGTAAAACAAGAGTTACCATTCATGGCTACAGAAAATATTATAATGGCTATGGTTAAAGCAGGAGCAAATAGACAAGTAGGTTACAGGTCAATTCCTATTGCTCACCCTCCTGGAACCCTTGAAGCCACTCTGTAACAAATGTGTGAGAGTCTACATTGGTTTTTTGATTATTATTACATGTACATACCAGAAAAGAAAAAAGTGGAGCAGATGAGATTTTATGCATAATTTCTGAAAGGATTTTCCATGTTTTATTCATAGCTTCTATTTATTCTATTCTTCTATTTCACATTCTTTCTATGTTGCCTTGAAAACTAAGTACTACACTTTGTGCTATTCAACTCTCTATATCAAATGACATGCATATTAGACAGTTAGACTCATAAACAACTATTCTTCTGTACTGAGATTTATGTTACAAGTCTTCCACACTATGTTTTGTTGAACTGCAGAGAACATGAAATCCGATTTTCAATTTTGAAAGTGATACAGATGGTTGAAATCTGTCAGCTAATAAAACAATATTATAGGAATGTATCCCTTTATAATTGTAGGTATGTCATGAAGAAATAAGAGTTTTATCTCAAGAAGCTGGTCAAGTGGTCAAACAACAAGGTTTAGATAATGATTTAGTAGAACGTATTAAAAAATCTGATTATTTTAAACCAATACATAAACATTTAGATAGTCTGTTAGATCCTTCTACCTTTACAGGCTTGGCACCTCTTCAGGTAAGCCGAATTTATGATTGGAATTCTTGAGTGGTTCTTGAGGCTGCAGTTATTCTGTGAGTTGGGCCTCTCTTGCAATAAAATTCTTCTAGTGGTTCTTGGTTCATTATTTAAGAATTGGGCCATTCCTTGGATTAGAATTTTTTATGGTGCTTCTTGAAGCTGCAGTAACTCAGACCCCAAGAATCTGGGCTTGATTCTAGATTTAGTTATATGTACTCAACGTAATGAAGATAAAAGCTAGCACAGGGCCTAATCTAAGGCCAAAGCAACTAGCATTGGCATAGAAATTCTTACCTTGAGGAGGATTCAAACCCACTGCACCTAACTGCCTAGAAAACAGTCCACAGCTACCCACAGAGCTATTCCAAAGACAGTGTTCCAGCCCAGCATATAGGAATTATGGTGTTCCCTCCTTTATCAAGTTTTTTTTCACCCCACTGTTTACTGTATTACAGGTGAGCCAGTTTATAACAGAAGAAGTAGAACCAGCTATTAAAACCTATTCTAAATGTATGGAAGGGAAATCTGTATTAATTTTATAAAACTTTTAGTCCTATAGTATTCAATAATCCGTATTTCTTTTACCAATTTGGTGCTGTACATTGTGACTGCCATTATGGTCTTAGGTTTTTTTTGTGTTGTATGGTATACAGCCTGTAATTGTAACTATGATTATCAGAACTCCTGTATTATGAATGGTAGGGAATAAAATAATGATGATAAAAGTTGCAACATCTTAGTATTTTAGAGTAGTATTGTATACAGCCAGATGAATGCATTTATTATTGTAATAACCTGATACTATGGAATTATGAATGATTGGCTATCAGATATCGTGGGTGACTGCTTGAAACCTCGTATAACGATATATGACGCGGAATTAAAACTATTTGTATGCGTATTTTGTTAAAATCTTTTTTATTATATTTTTTACGGCTATATGTGGTTTTCATTATTTGAAAATATAAACCTCGTATAACAATTTGAAATCTCCGGCCTATTGAACCAAAAACATGTATAATAATACAGTATACGAGGTTTTTCATTTTCATCCGTAGGAAAGGAACATTGAACCTGGTATAATATATTTTACGAGGTTTTAAATCTGACTGTTTATATACGTGTTATTTAATTAGTGCATTTTGAGTTATTTACAATCAAGCTAAGAATATGATCTTTTGATCACAAGATCCGCAATTTTACGAGCTTTCGAACGGTACCAAAAAGTCAAAATGACCAAATATGGCATAAACGAGGTTACAAGCGGTCACCCACGATATGCATCTTAATATTGTATTTTTTTTAATGTAGTATTGTTCACTACCAAATGAATGCATTTATTGCCATTACCTATACAAATGGATTTTCAATGATTAAGAATTTTTACTATCAATGACACTTGATATGTCGTTGTGATGTCGTTATAGCATTTTGTATTATTGTATATTTTACAGCCATATAATTGCATTTAATACCATCATCTATTCCTCAAAAGTATTTTTTTTCATTTTACTTTTACTATATATTATGTGTGATTGAGTTTGTTTGAAATATATGGTCAGATCTTTCTTTCTTTTCTTTTGCTTAACTTGATCACATATCAGTCACTCAATGATTTGTCATCGAAGGAAAGTTTTTGAGAATATTTATGTTGAGACCTTTTCAGAAGACAATTTTAATTGGATATTACTTTTTAGTCAGCCAAATACTGATCATAAACAATAGAAACTCTACTTGACTACTAGTTTGATCCCAGATAAAAGATTAAAACCATGACCAAGGGATAAAAAGTGTTCACTCTCACTCTGTCAGTCTTTTTGTATTAAAACTGTGGGTATGGAGACTAAGATGTTTTAACCACAGCTTGAATGTGAGTAGAATTTAGGGGTTGTAATCAGATTGACAACAACAGAGGAAAGTCTCATTCTGTCAGCAGATTTCCCAGGGTTCATTTCTTGTTGCAAGCTAACCAGAGGAAACATTTGTGTTGAAAAAAAAAGGCAAGTATTTTCAATAAATCTTTCAATTTATTTTGTATATTGGTTAAACAAAAGGTGCCAAGTGCTGAAATTTGAATTCTATAGTTCTAACTTGATTTTGCGATTGAATAATGAAGAGCTGCTTGCACAGATGCAACCAAATTTTAAATGTTTGTGGCATCATTTAGACTTTACTAGCATTAACAAATGTATTCAAATCGGCAACACTGGTTCAGAACACGCATATTAAGCTTTCATGTCCAGGAAGAGATCCTCAACTCTAGATTGCACTATTTATGGTGCATCAGCCTTTGCAAGGTGGCATGTGACAAGACAGTTCTCAGATCCAGACAGGTATTTTCATACATTTGTATGAAGAGAAAATATAGAATTCCCAAGTCTATGATTTATGGTTAGGTCACAGGTCTACCAACAATATGTATTATATAATGTATATTACTCATTTATATGATGTACATGTTATCATATAGTGTACACTTCTGTACTGGGGGAATCTGCAACAAGAAAATCTCAAAGTTTCATGTGCTTGTATCTGAAGCTAGCATTTTAGTTGATGACGTACAACAATCACCTCTTGAGTAGAAATACAAACAATTAGGAATTGTCATAATTCTTAAGAGTTCTTTTTGGATTTCCTCTTTAATTCAACAATTTTTAAGTAATTTTAGCAAAACTAAACAAAAGTAGTATTATTTAGGAATTTTCGGGCTGCTGGACAGTCTAACATTATGAGAAGGATTGGGGAACAGTCTTCGCCTTTATTTCCAAAATGAAAATCACAGTCACTTTATGAGAAATGATTTTAATTCGTGAAAAAGCTCTTTTGGCCAAATGAAAGTTCAGATTTTAAAATGAAGCAATTAAAATGAAATGATGAAAATAACAAAACTAAGATACTAAATAAAAAACAACAGGTCTCAACAAAAATTAGTTAACAACACCTCCATCTTTGAGGTTTCACAGATTAATCAAAACATTTTACATCTAACTTAAAAACTATTTACCTTCTCTAAAAAAAATTGTATATCAGCTCCACTCATTAGTATTTGGTATAGTGGAACCATAGAATTGTATAATGTATACAGTTCTATGCTGGAACAAAGACATTTTCACACATCTGGGAAGGATACAAAACTACTATTGGTTTAGGTAAAAAAATTAACAGCTCTTTTTGAATTTTGAGTTGTCTCCCAATGTGCACAATATCTTTGACTCAAGAAGTAATAGGCCTAGAATTTTGATTTCACTTTAGTTTTTCAGGGAAAGCCCGGACCCTGAAAGGATCATGCATCAGTAATGTTTGAAATGTTGAAGTGATATTCTCTACAATGAACCTAAACTATATCAAAAATTGAAACTAAATTCAAAAAAAGTAATTTTCTAAATAAGAAATTTGACTAGTTTGCAAAAAAGACTAAAAAAAAGATCAAATACAAAATAATATTTGTATAATTATGATGCAGATAATTGCACAGTAAACAAAAAATATTTTATGAAAACTTCACAATGACAATGTTATTCTTCTTATACCTTGACTGCAGTAGACACCTTTCTTGTATCACAGAAGTTTCTAAATGCAGTGATTTTGTTTGATAGTACGCTAGTAAATACAGTCAATCAGAGCTCTTGACAGTCTGCCTTTCGGATTGGCTGTATTAGCTTAGTGAAGATGCCACAGATTATGCAAAGAAATATTTTAAAATTTAAAGCTGAAGGGATGGTGAATCCTACTAGGATTTGCATAAAATGTGTATGACCTAATTAGGAATGAATTCGTTAGTTTTTGTAATTAAAATAATCTGAGATTCTAATAAAGTATGTACAACTCTGTGGTAAATAGCAATTGGACACAATATTATAGATAACAATAGTTATTTGTTGATACTCTAACCATAATACTGTTGTCCCTAGTCAAGCAACTTTTAAAGCAAATAAGACTATGTATGGTTCTCACGTAAAAATAATTCACACGAACGTAGTTCACAGCCATTTTGAATCTCTTAATTAGTCAAATTTTAAGCATATAAGAATGATATTTCAACTAAGCCTTCAAACCAATTTTAAGTTTTAGAAATGGCTTTGATTGTGATTTGAAGGCTTTGATAAAATACTAGGCCTTTTCAAAAACTTGACTTATCGAGTCAAACAGATGATTGAAATTGGTTATGAACTATGTTTGTGTTTGTTATTTCCATGTAAAAACCATACATAGTTTTGTATGCTTTATAAGGTCAAAAATTAAATTAAATTAATTAAATACTTGAAGATAATGAGCCTCTCAAACAAGTGCTTGATGGTGAATCATCTCTGGATTATACCAGACTATTGTTTTTCTTCAACTGGTGTCAAATTATTTACCTTTGTAGGTATAGAAGAGCAAGGTTTTTATGCACATCCTGGAGCCTTATTATCCAAAATTTAACTTAAATAGAATCCCGATTTTACGAAATACAGTAATCTGATTGGATAACAAAACTAAATTTTAAATCAATTTTAGTGATTGACCAATCAGATGGCTTGAAAACTAAAATCATCTTAAGTTAAGTTTTCAAGAATAAGGGCCCTGGACTGAATCAAAACATTAAAACAAACATTCCACTTAATTTCTAAATATTCATAATGGATACTATTATAATTTTGAAAGTGTCAGTCATATATTTTTGATAATAACAAATACCAGTTTTAAAATATCACAAATTATTCATCAGTGCAATTGTTATCCTTAAAATTGTGTCCTCTACTCAATATGTACAACCATTTATTTTGATTTCAATATTTACATCTTATGTTGTTTCTACAGCAGGACCATCTTGATCATCATCTTGATCATCATCTTGTTGGAATTCTTGTTGCAACTTCTCAGCTTCAATGTTACTATTATTAGTATTTTCAGCTATCGATAACTTCTGTAATTCCACTGAAACTGAGGGTTCGCTAGTTGGGAGAGTGCTGCTTTCGGAGGGTGGGTTATTACTGACTGAATCAATATCTTGAGATTCGAAAGTCAAATCATCTACATTGACTGGAGCTGACTCTGTATCTTCTGGTTGATCAGGAATTGAAGACATTGCTGCTTCCAAGTCAAAGGTTCCAATTTCAAAAGGTTCATCTGACTGACGTTCAGCACCATATTCAGTATTGCTGCTAAAATTACTAGATCCAGCTTGTTTACTATCAGGTTGAGGAGCTGGCATGTCAGTGAAGCTGCTAATAGGAGCTGATTGATTAAAGCCGGAACCTGATGCTGCATCAGTGAAGGTACTATTTGCAGCTGATTTATTAAAGCTCGTAGATGATGGCAGATCAGTAAAACCACTATCACGAGCAGATTGATTAAAGCCAGAACCCGATGCTGTATCAGTAAAGGTGCTGGTAGGAGGTGGTTGATTATAGCTGCTCATAGCTGGTGGCATATTAGCGTAACCAGCGTTCGAAAAGTGAGTAATAGGTACTGCTGGAATCATGTTTAAATCACTAAAGTTGGTACTCATTGGCATTGATGTCCCATGTGGTTGACTGTAATCCATTCCCGGTACGCTGGTGCTCATTTGTTGACAAAACTCTGGACTCGGTAGAATTGAAGGAAAGCTGTAGATAGGTGATTGTGAAGGAACAGGGTAAACTGGTTGAGTTGAACCAAACGATGCAAAATTAAACCCACCGCTATTTCCCATACCGGCCATACTGAAAATAGACAAATGGTTGCTGAATAAAGTGTAGTCTTATAAATTTGTTGGACGTAAACTTGGATCCACCACTGTGTATGAGGACTGAATCTAAAGCTAATCCACATCCAATTGTTGCTATAATGATAAATAAATACCAGTAGGTGATGGTGATGATAAATACATTCCTAGTAGATAATGATAAATACATACCTGGTAGGTGATGGTGATGATAAATACATACCTAGTGGGTGATGGTGATGATAAATACATACCTAGTAGGTGATGATAATGATAAATACATACCTGGTAGGTGATGGTGATGATAAATACATACCAAGTAGGTGATTGTGATGATAAATACATACCTAGTGGGTGATGGTGATGATAAATACATACCTAGTAGGTGATGGTGATGATAAATACATACCTGGTAGGTGATGATAATGATAAATACATACCTGGTAGGTGATGGTGATGATAAATACATACCTAGTAGGTGATGGTGATGATAAATACATACCAGGTAGGTGATGGTGATGATAAATACATACCTGGTAGGTGATGGTGATGATAAATACCTAGTAGGTGATGGTGATGATAAATACATACCTAGGGGTGATGGTAATGATAAATACATACCTAGTAGGTGATGGTGATGATAAATACATACCTGGTAGGTGATGATAATGATAAATACATACCTAGTAGGTGATGGTGATGATAAATACATACCTGGTAGGTGATGGTGATGATAAACACATACCTAGTAGGTGATGGTGATGATAAATACATATTTAGTAGGTGATGGTGATGGTGATGATAAATACATACCTAGTAGGTGATGGTGATGATAAATACATACCTAGTAGGTGATGGTGATGGGTAATGAGATGATGTTATAAGATTATCAGGTAAATCTAGAGTATGATAGGGTGATTGTATCAATATATCTATATTAGGACGGAGATTAGCTGCACTATTTAATAATGATCTTAAAATCATCTGTGTTGATTGATCCTGAAACGAAACAACAATAATATATAGCAACAAACCAACAGATATACCAGAGTGTAAGGTGCAGAGAGTTGAAAGGTCAAAGAGACACAGGTTAAAGAGTGTGACATTACCACAACAATCTAACATGATAATATTATGTAATCATATGGCAGGTTAAACGACTGTAATTATTCAATAGGTTTAACCCTTGAAAGACCATGTGTGAATAAAACAAACTGTCATATACCCTGTACTCCAAGTAATATAACTTGAAATGTATGAAATTAAGTGAGATCACTTAGTAACTGCCAAGCAGGTATATATCACATGGTAGGTAAAACAACTATTATTCAATTGGTTTATAAATAAAACAGAGATCAGAATTGTGTTGAGATTATAATATGAATATTGATACTAGAACTGAAAGTGTTTATGAATTAACAAACTCACCATAGGTAAATGAGAGAAATCAGGTACATTCTCTGGTAGTAAACCAATAGCACACTCAGGATAATGAAGCTGAAATAATTATAAATAAACATTTTATATCTCTGAATGATAATCTAACATACTTAACTCTCAAATAATTGGTATTATACAATTCATTCTATTTATATTAAAATGCAGAAATGAAATGAAATGAGTTTTACGTCCTACTTTTCTGCACCATGTGGGCTAATGAAGACAGACAATGCCATGCAGGGTGCACTGGGGGAAATTTTGCCAGGACAGTGGCATTAGCCTGCTCTTTTTCGATTTCCAACTGTCGAGGGATCTTTAACTTGCACAGCCTGTAGAAAACGGGACCTCGTATTAAAATGCGGAGGAAAGCACATATATATATATGTATACTACAGAAAGAATACACTGACAATTATTCAAGCTTTCCAAATCTTATTTCTTGTTTATACAAATATGTGCAATATACGACCAAAACTTACCCATAAGATGAGTAAACCAAGATGAAATAAATCTATGGATGGAGTGACGTCACCTGAATTTCTGGCTTCTGGAGCTATAAACTCTAGTCCACTTTTAGTTGTATATCTTTTACGACATCTATCACTCTGTTAAATATAAAATATATGCTTCATTAATCATCTGAGATAGTTATAGGTATACTACCTCTTAGGATAGCCAAAACAAAAATTTTAAATTTTGCCAAAATGAGTCTATATTCATCATTGGACTTACCTACTGTCAAAACTATAGAAAAGAATCTCTGTGCAATCCAATAAAGTCATAAACCTAAATAATTATCTGTAAAACTACAGGTAATAATATTAAAAAAACACTCAATAATTACTTATTCCACTGTTACATTTTGCAAAATTTTCAACCTGTTTTTTTTATAAGATTTTTTTTTTTTTATAAGATTTATATGTTTTCGGAAGAAAATTAAAATTTAAGAATATCGTTACTTACAGCTGATCTCGAAAAGTCAGGTTCCATTAAAACAGCAGTACCATCATCTCTCATTATAATATTTTCTGGTGTGATATCACCGTGTATATAACTTTTACTATGTAGACTCCCTACAGCTTTACTCACACATCTTATTATCTCTTGTATAGCCTGGAAGTAGTAAGTAAATCAATATTAACGTAATGACATATAGAAGCGAGGAGCACATATACAAATCAATATGAACGTTTTGGTTTCAATATCTAAATTTCAAACTTTAATACAATTCTACAAGTTCTAAGGTATCTGAGTTCAATTCAAACTAGTCAAATTCTAGAAAATATGTGCTTCTATGCAATAAAAAACATGAACAGAATTTGCAAATAATAATCTTAATACAATGAGACTATATCGATGTACTGCAGTGTGCAATACAGGAAAATGTGCCAGAGCATTGCCTTAAGATGTATTTCCATAGGCAACTTAAATAATAAAGTCATCGCAGGAAATCTAATAGAAATTATTAGTTTACATTACCTTACTGTTGGGTCTAATACCAGAATCTAATACTGATACTAATATTTCACCATCTTTAGATGATTTTATATAACCTCGTCTCCCTGTCTGTAATACATTATTAAAACTTAATATTGATTTTACAGTACAGTGAGTCATTTCTACCACAACATATCTCATAAAAATATATTTGGACATGTTGCCATGAAGGTCAGAAATTTCAATATATTAGTTCCTAATCCATTTTGTACACAAATGCTACCAATCTTATGGCAAAAAGGAACTCCAGCCAAATAATAGTACCGGTATTAAAGTGTATTAAGACAAGTCTCAATAAAAGCACTTGCCTTGGTCACCGAGCAATTGATAATTTCTACTTGTTCCAACAGTCAATTGAGTATATATGTAATATAACTGCAAACAAAACTGTTGCGGCCTTCTGAGCCTCATCAGTGCAGTGCTGATACTGGAGTTGAGGTTTGACATATATGAAAAGTTCTAACCTTATTAAAGAAGACTGTATCTATCTTATGTAAATAATCATTGTTTATTTGATGGTAATTGTAGGCTTGTGATAAAAACTGATCTTTATTGAGATGGTCTCCATCAAACAGTAGATATTCCTATAATATATCAATATATATATTTTATTGAATATAAAACTATAAAATATGAATGCACACTGATTAATTTGTAGGAAAACTATAGTCATATTGACACCTAAATTTCCCCGAATGTGCAATGCGCTTGTGGGCCATATCCTTACATTCTAAGATGAGAAAAATGATTTAGTAACCTTTCCCCCAAGACCAAATGGAGCAAACAGTTAAAAATTCAACTAAAAATGTGTGAACACCTATTTGCTATCAATCCTCATATCAATATATCCTAAAACATGTCAATAAAAATGTTTTGGGAACTTCCTAGCAATCAAAATCAGAATTTAAAATTCATTTTCCTGATATACTCACCCTGATATAGATAATTTCACCACAGAATACAGACTCATATAAATCATTACAACCTTCTAATCCTGGGTTTAAATCAAAATGGTCTATTTCATAACTGTTCTGTACCAGTCCTTGATACAGCTATAATAGAGATAATATCAATAGTATATCAATCACTGTATATAACATCGTTAATAGAAATATTAAAACAGAACCTAAAAAATATATGATATTACTCAGAGTTTCACAACATGTGAATTTCAGAAAACTGACCTATTTCAGCCTGTGTCCCTACTGAAGTTGGACAAATAGAACTTATTGTCAGGTATACACTTCGAAAGTTCCGAATGTTTGTTTAAAGACGTGTGCTCAGGGGCAATAATGATGGAAAACTTCTCCGTGAAAAACAGGTTACATTGTTTGCTGTTAATTGTGTAGGCTTTAGATTTGCTATCATTTTGTAATTATTATTTTTCAATTTAAGTTTATCAACATTATTAATATTTGAGCAAAATGAATCAATTAAACCAGTGGTAAAAGAGGACAAACTACTCAATGTAAGATTCAACTGAGCACGAAACAAGGCATCAGGGATTGAAGTGAGAAGCTAGTCTTGGTTCTGATTGCAAATAAAAAGTCAATGTAAGGTTTAAAGTATTGCTTTCATTTTTAATGCAATTATTTGGGAGAAAATTTGGAGAAAATATATACCAGTACTTACAAGTTGTTCATCAATACCAAATTCAGAGAATTCAGACACTACCTCAGGAAAATGATTTTCAGCTAATTTAGCTATCTCCGACTGAAATGAAGAAACAACATACCATTTAAATTATTCACGTCTTGCCACAGCTATCCTACCAATATCAAGTTATTTGAAAGATTGAATGACATCTAGATATTGATACATCTTCAAGCAATACCTTGCCAGCACTTTTAAGATATGCAAAGCAACTTGACATTTTTCGTTATCAGAAAATATAAACCACTGAACCAAAAAAAGAATTTTCCAACATTGCAACTCCCTAGAACTTAAAATAATATCAAACTTATATCAGAAATAAATAATAGCAGTTACTTACGATTTGTTCACTCTCTGTAAGCAATACTTCATGTATTTTGTTTCGTATTTCATTAATATCAGTTTTAATTTCATCCAGTTCTCCTCCTTCACCTTCATTCTAGAATATAACCACGAATATCAATCAATAATTATACATATTACTTAATACCAAACAAAGCTTCTGATTATAAAAAACCTAAGATATATGGATATTCTACTTCTGCATATATATTTTATTTAATCTTTCTACTTCTATATGTCTTATAAACAATAAAGCTTCTTATTAGCTCTTATTCATATGGTTTTGTCATCTGTACAAACTGCTCTGTTAAACATCTTGAAGTGTCAATAGATAACACATAAAGAACAACAAAATATGTTTGAAAATCATTTCAGACAGCTGAGTACAGGGCTGGTCTACAGAAAAGAATGCTTGATTATATTCTACAAAACTGTTGAATTGAGTGTTTTCGCATTTGTTTAAAATTTGTCTACTATTTATTAACATTGAGAGTAAAATGATAAGAATTTAACTAACCTCTTCATAATCAACTTTATCAGCAAGTCTATGTCGTAATTTAGATTTTAAAGAGCGTAATGTTTTACGTGTTGATTGTAAACCAGTTGTAGTTGGTTTATTTTCTAACCAGGGTTCTATATCAGTCACAGTTTGACGGAATTCACTCATTAATTTAATATAATTATCAATACTGGAGGATTCTTGATGTAATTCTTTACGTATTGACTGTACTATACTGGCTAGAATCGGTGCATCTCTTCCTTGCTCCTGTAAATATCAGACTAGCAGTTTATATATCCAGG